TTGAATCGGGCAATCAGAAGGTTAACTCCAAGAACAAAGGCCATAAGGAGAAAAGGAAACATAAAGAGAGGAGCTATCCAAGAACCGTATGTGCAAACAGAATCTATTTCCCCTTTCTCATACATCTCAATTCTGACAGGATCTGTGCAGGCTGAAAACATATAAAATGTTAAAATAAAATATACAGATGGATTTTTGGGAATTACTTACTTGAATCGCGCTATTAGAAGATTGACCATTAGAACTATGGCCATTAGTAGAAATGGGAACATAAAAAGTGGTGCGACCCAAGATCCGTACACACAGGCATCCTGAATTTCACCTCTCTCTACCATCTCTAGACGCTTCGGATCCGTGCAGGCTGAAATTATACGCCATGTTAGCTGCATATATATACATATACATAGCAAACCTTTTTAAACTTAGTTTTTTAAAGTAATTTTTTTATCATAATTTTTATATCATTTGAAATTAAAAGAAATATTTCAATATTCTAATCTAACATATTTTATTTACTTGCTGTTTACCATTTGGTATGGGTAAATCTACTTCTGAAAAACAACAACATGAAAAGCGTGTATTTTTACTGCTTGCATGTTAAAGCAACTTGTGTATCGGTAATATATTTTGAAATTCTGCGTGGAGTTAATCATTGTTAATTCAAAGAAAATGTTTGATCCAATTTTCTTATCAATTTATATAATTAACTTGCAATTCTTTAATTTTTGAGCTGAGAACAGTTTCAGTAAAATATAAAAATTCTGCTTCTGACACGACAGGCTCTGGTCACACTAAAACAGATATGCTGGCAGGACAATCAGAAAACCTGTGGTATGGATCTATTATTGCTGCTGCTTGCAAATCAAACTGTTGTTAATTACAAAACATCATTTAATAATAAAAATATTTTGAAAGATTTCTCAAATCCAGGGAAAAAGTTGGTGCTGCTGGTGCATACAAAATTAATCTACAAATAATTATTTTATCCTTCTTCCAAAGCTATATATACAATTCTGGAATACAAACAAATCATCTCCTACACCAAAATGCCCTTCAGCTAAAATTCTTGAGTAATTTTTATTACACTTTTATAGCAATATAACAATATCTTTCAGAAAACAATTTGTACTATACTAATCATTATTTTGTATTTTAAAAGCATTATGCCCTTGTAGGGCATAATCTGAAAAATAAACTTGCAAAATGCATTTGTAATTTCATTGCCTAAAATTTATAAAACTTCCAACACTATCTTCATAACTTTTCGCCTTTATTGTATAATTCAAAGAAAAAAATTTGAATCATGAATTATAATCTTTAAAATGTTCCAAAAACTTACTATCGATTTCATCAGCAAATAACTCTCCGTATATCATCCAGTATGGGTAGAAGAAGACGTTACGTACGTGGAACCAGCGCGGTTCCTCGTCCTGATAATGTATAGCTTGTCGAACAACGCCGAACGCAGCAACAACGATCAACAGAATGATGAGGAAATAACACATCTCTCGTAACTAAAATCAAATATGTACGTTATTCTTTAAAGGCACATTTTGCCTAGCAAATTCATATGTTTTAATTCTTAAGAAATGTCAAATGAATCTTCAATAATGATAAGGATTAAGAGCATGTTAAATATTCAACAAATGTAGAAAATAGCGCTGAACATGCAGTGATGTGTTAAATTTAGCAAAATGCAAACTAAGTAGTATTTTGACTTCCATACAAAATACTAACACCATCTGCCGACAGAGCAAAATCAACAACAGATATTTTATGTATATGACAAATGAGCATTTGTTTAGAAACTGTGACAAGATACCAAAAAAGTTTTTGAGAAATGAAAATTATAGCATTTCTAAGGCATAATGGGCCCTTAAAGTGTCTAATTGAAAGAATAAATGATATTTACAAGCCATTATTCTGTAGGAAATTATTGAAACACGATGTTAAATTGTTCTTCTCATTAAAAGTAATTTCTGTGAAGTTAAAACAAATTCCAATCAGAAGCAGATGTATAAAAGCCCAATAAAACAAAAGGACAAAATGAACCAATCAAGAAATGTCAAGTGTTTTTATATGGTCAAAAGCTTTTTTGTTTACATCAGTAGAACAAGTGAGAAGAAACTGTCACAAAACCAGTTCTTTTTCTGCAGACATAATATATGCCATCTATCGATATATATTTTTTTTTTTAATTTTGGATGAGGATTATAAGAATATAGCTAGGGGTTTATGTTAATAGCATTAATACAGTCATAAAGAAATATAGTCAGTGCTGTTTAATATGAACAATCAGAAGAAAATCCAGACTGTTTAATCATAGTTATTTATACTATTCTAACTGCAGTGCCGGCAAAATCTATCTGTTTTAATCTGAAGCATTTCTTAACTTGTACATATGATATTTATATAGTAAATTCTTCAAATTTCTACTTGACAAGTTGTCCGTACAGGCTATTAAATGGACAACCTGGGCAATATGGGCAATTGATTTTGCCACCCATGCTTAAGTGGTTAGAAACATGCTTTGACAATGTTGGCAGTATTTAGATAGTGCAGTAATTGCATATATATTTTTCTTTTCAAAGACTTTTAGATTTAGCAAAGACCTTCAAGATTATTCAATATCTACTACATCTACATTGACATCTGATTGATCTGGACAACTGTTTAAGAAGGAAACCTTTTGTAACTGGAGGTATTTGAGGAGAACACTTAAAATGAATATCTTTGAATGTCTTCAACGTCACAAATTTCAGATTCTTTGTTATAAAGAGATAAAAAAGAGCCCGGTTTAAGCTGAGTGATGCTCCCCGAATAGGTTTTGGACACAGGAAAGTACACCTCTTGTAGTTTCAGAGTTATGTCCCTGGAAAAAGTTCAAAGTGTAATAATTCCAAAATTAGGCAAGGAAGAGTTACTGTTCTTTGCACTGCACTTCTAATCAATGGATCTATCAACCTACAAAGTTTCTTGTTGATATCTCTTATGGTTTTGAGATATGTCCCTGACAAAGTTCAAAATGTAAAAATGAACAAAGGGCATTAACTACAAAATTTGGCAAGGCGGAGTTGAAGTTCTTGTGCACTGCACATCTACCTATTGAGATCTATCTACCTACAAAGTTTTATGTTGATATCTCCAATAGTTTTAGAGTTATGTCCGGGACAAGATTTTTTTAAAAGGGGAAATAATTCAAAACTTGGGCAAAACAGAGTTATGTTTTTTTTGTACTGCACTTTTACTCAATGAGATCTATATACCAACAAAGTTTCATGTTGATATCTCTCATAATTTTAGAGTTATGTCCCAGGCAAAGTTCAAAAAGTAAAAATAAACAAAAGGCAATAACTCCAAAATTAGGCAAGGCAGAGTTATGATTCTTGTGCACTGCACATCTACCCATTGAGATATATCTACCTACAAAGTTTCATGTTGATATCTCTTATAGTTTTAGAGTTATGTCCCAGACAAGATTTTTCTAAAAGGGGAGATAATTCAAAAACCGGGCAGAATAGAGTTATGGTTCTTTGACACTGCACTCCCCCTCAATGCCCTCTACCACTGTATGAACTTTAAACAAATTATCTCCAAGGGTTTTCAAGTTATGCTCCGGACAAATCAACGGACTGAGAGACGGACAAGGTGGCGACTATATGCTCTCCCTTTGGGGAGCATAAAAAGTAGGAATGACTTTTACATTTTAATATTTTACAAAATATTAACTTACCAACTTAACAATGATCTTCAGGTAGGGTCCAAGGTACTTATTTACACTAAGTATTTCTAGAATACGTAGATACCAGAACGTAATGTTTATCACATATAAAACTCTCGCAGCTCGATGATTAACTGGCAGGAACCGTACCAAAACCGCAGTTGAAAACCACAATATTGACACTGTGTCCCAGATGTTCCACACTGAACTAAAGAACACCTTGATCTTTCCAAGAAAACTTGTTGGCTCTGATGCAATTATCTGAAAGTATATATAAATGCTGGTTATATAATTATAAACCATTACCGTGATTTAAATTAATAACCATGTTATATAAAACTAGCCCGGCTTTGCAATTTGCAATACTTGTATAACATTGGTATTTTACCATTATTCAGTACAATACAAAAAACAAGAATAATAACTTGATGCAAAGTATTTAAGACACAACACATGTTTATGTTATAAGATTTCAATGAAGGAAAGTCAATTGATTATATCAAAATAGCACGTGCAATTATAAATCAAACTAGAGGATGCTTTTGTAAAAAAGCGCATGTCTCCCCCACTGCACTGTGACCTTGACCTTTGACCTACTGACCCCAAAAACAATAGGGATCATCTGCTCTATAAGACCAATCATCCTATGAAGTTTGAGGGCTGTAGGTCAAAAGGAACTCTAGTTATCATCCGGAAACGAGAAATTGACCAACGGTCACTGTGACCTTGACCTTTGACCTACTGACCCCAAAAACAATAGGGATCATCTGCTCTATAAGACCAATCATCCTATGAAGTTTGAGGGCTGTAGGTCAAAAGGAACTCTAGTTATCATCCGGAAACGAGAAATTGACCAACGGTCACTGTGACCTTGACCTTTGACCTACTGACCCCAAAAACAATAGGGATCATCTGTTCTATAAGACCAATCATCCTATGAAGTTTGAGGGCTGTAGGTCAAAAGGAACTCTAGTTATCATCCGGAAACGAGAAATTGACCAACGGTCAGTGTGACCTTGACCTTTGAACTACTGACCCCAAAAACAATAGGGATCATCTGCTCAATAAGACCAATCATCCTATGAAGTTTGAGGTCTGTAGGTCTAAAGGAACTCTAGTTATCATCCGGAAACGAGAAATTGACCAACGGTCACTGTGACCTTGACCTTTGACCTACTGACCCAAAAACAATAGGGATCATCTGCTCTATAAGACCAATCATCCTATGAAGTTTGAGGGCTGTAGGTCAAAAGGAACTCTAGTTATCATCCGGAAACGAGAAATTGACCAACGGTCACTGTGACCTTGACCTTTGAACTACTGACCCCAAAAACAATAGGGATCATCTGCTCAATAAGACCAATCATCCTATGAAGTTTGAGGTCTGTAGGTCTAAAGGAACTCTAGTTATCATCCGGAAACGAGAAATTGACCAACGGTCAGTGTGACCTTGACCTTTGACCTACTGACCCCAAAAACAATAGGGATCATCAGCTCTATAAGACCAATCATCCTATGAAGTTTGAGGGCTGTAGGTCAAAAGGAACTCTAGTTATCGTCCGGAAACGAAGAATGGACGGACGGACGGACTGACGGACTGACGGACGGACGGACAGTGACCTTGACCTTTGAACTACTGACCCCAAAAACAATAGGGATCATCTGCTCAATAAGACCAATCATCCTATGAAGTTTGAGGTCTGTAGGTCTAAAGGAACTCTAGTTATCATCCGGAAACGAGAAATTGACCAACGGTCAGTGTGACCTTGACCTTTGACCTACTGACCCCAAAAACAATAGGGATCATCAGCTCTATAAGACCAATCATCCTATGAAGTTTGAGGGCTGTAGGTCAAAAGGAACTCTAGTTATCGTCCGGAAACGAAGAATGGACGGACGGACTGACGGACTGACGGACGGACGGACTGACTGACGGACGGACGGACAGGGCAAAAACAATATGTCTCCCCCCGAGGTGGGGGAGACATAATTAATGCAGCAGTACGTTCTAGTAAAAAAAAAGTTCCCATTCATATGTCACTTTCACAGAAGATAAGCTTAAGTTAATGAAACTAGAGGTCAGATGTGCAATTTATAAGCAAGCAATGATCTACAGCATATGACGTTTGTTCACGTTTTAAATTTCACGCTAGGTTACTTCAATGAAATCTTTGATTTGAGTATAATTGTTTGGTGAACATTACTATTATATCATTGATATAATGTTTATACAATTCTTATGATTGTCTATTTTTTTTGTAAAGTCAGTGTCAATTTATATTTCAAGTGACAGAAACATCTTCAAGTACACTCTTATCATTTTTTCAAGTGTTTGATAAGGTCTGTAAACTAGCAAATCTTAAACAGGGGCCTACAAATTAATATACAGCTGGAATGTGCTCAACTGTATTGATAATGTGGCCAAACATAAAGAGTATTCTGAATTTCAATCTATCTTTCAGTGAATGCCAATACAATTTAGGTTGAGTAATGCTATTGTATAGTTTGTTTTACAATAATAATGCTTGTTGCTCATTAAATGATTAGATGACTCCAAAAGTTACAGACCAGGCACTACCATCTATTCACAATCACATTATACTTTGGACATAAAGAGTGACCTCAACCTTTAAGCTAGAGAGCAGATTTTTGTGTGCCAAGTCCAACACATTTGCCATAAGTATATTATTAATATGAAATTAGGCAAAGCCTATGAACCGGGAAGTCATTAAAAATTCCTTTTATTTTTCCGTTTTAAAGGTGTCATTCGGTATTTCATTACCGCTTTGGTTTTCACTCGGAACACTTGACATTTATTATTAATTCGAAAAGTTGAGATTTGTTCTGTTATCAGAATACCCTGTCTTTTATCATTGAGTTAAATTGTAAATGGCGGTGCTTAACTAGAACTAGCACTGAAAATTTAATTGATAGGTATAGAATTCTATATATTTTTTAATTGTTTTTTATCTGATTTTCTTTTAAATATACACATGTAGCCTATAGTCGGGCAAGCCAAAGACTTTGACTTCCCTGTATAAAATCCATCATAGACAGGCTTTCTACTGCCTCTACCAAAAAAACTAGGGAAAAAGTAGGGCATTTTTTTACCAAAAAGTAGGGCAAAGTAGGGATTTCTGATGTTAAAAAGTAGGGATAAAGTAGGAATTTCTTACCGTTTTATTTAAGAATTAGCAAAACATACCATCACCAAGACCAAATCAGGCTGTATGTATCTTCAGCTCAGTCCATGCTTGAAAGACTGTGAGGCACCTCAAAGCCAGAATGTTGCTGAATGTTTTGCCAAGGCACCATGAGCAGAGCTGCATCAGTACTAAGGGTGTAGTACTTAAGTACCAGTACCAGTACTTGCCAAGTTTTGCAGTACCATTACCAGTACCAGTACTTGATTTTAGCTTGGTACTGCAGTTCCATTATTTTTTTGGGGGAAGTAAATAAGTACCAGTACTAATACTTTTATATATTCATCAAAGTTTGAATAAATACACAGTGTCATTCAAAATAATTGCAAACATTATTCAACAAAGAAATAAAATCATTTACTTTAAAGTTGACATTGCATTTTTACAACTTAAATGAACGAACATACTTTTTACAAACAATAATTACAACATATATTCATGTCATATGTTATTGTCGAGTAACCATTCAACTGTAATACAATGCAATAATTTTACATTTTAAACCCACCAGTCTTTTTGTTGCCTTTCACACCTTTACACCTCTGTTCAATTTATACCAATGTAAAACTTTTTATGGTGCTAACAATATCACTTGAAATAGGATTATTTAGAATAGAAGTAATTAATTAGTGTTTATTTTGCTCTTTATTTTTTACTAGTAAATACATTGTAATAAGACTGCAATAAGGATTTTTTACCAGTAAAGAGTTATTGACTCTGTTTATCTCAATTTAATTTTACTTTAAGTCTTTGGTGCTTTTTTATGATGAATACTATGTTAACATTTGAAGGAATATTGCAGCAAATTATTTATAGATTTGATAACTTACTTTTTCACAACAATAAAATAATACATGGAATTTACAGCTTTACTATATGAGTAAAAATAATGACATTTTTATCAAAACCAAAAATACTGCCTTGTAATGCAATAGCAGTACTACTTTTTAAAGACAGTAATGCAGTACCAGTAGTAGCAAAATTTTGTAAGAGTAATTTAGTATCAGTACCAGTACTTGCAAAATCGCTGCAGTACATACTGCAGTACCAGTACCAGTAATGCAGCTCTGACCATGAGTCTTTCAAGGATGGACATCACAAGGAGACACACACTCACCTGAACTATTAATCAAATGCAACTGAAAATACAACTGAAATACCATTTTAAATATCTTCTTTTTTCATTTCATTTCAAATTGAAAAAGTAGGGATAATAGGGCTATTTCAAAAAAAAGTAGGGCAAAGTAGGGATCAAAAGAAAAAAGTAGGGAAAAGTGGGAAAAGTAGGAAAAGTAGGGACCAGTAGAAAGCCTGCATAGAATGACAGATATGTTGACCTGAACTGACTGTCCATGCACTTCTATGAAAAATTTGTATCATGTCTTTGGGTGACATAGACCTAGATTCTTTTGGCCACACATCTTCATCATGTCCAACACATTTATGCCAAGATATTTTAATATCCACCAATGGCAGATTGTTGACTGGAAACGACTGTCAATGCACTTTTATGAAAAATACATATCATGATTTCGGTGTGACCATGATTCAAGCTGGATATCTGGTTCTTGCTCATACAGGAATAACAGATTACAACTATTAAAGCACTTATAAAAGACCATCACCTTTGACCTACAAACCTGGATTTTTTTTTATGTGAAACATCAATTAGATGTGCTATACAATATTTGCAAAATTATTTTTAAAATCCATCCTTGAATAAAAAAGTCATGGTCCAGGCAAAACAAACTACATGGGATGGATGAAATTTATGATCAATCAAAGCAGTTATATAAAAGAATCAATTTCTCGTAATTTCAGCACAGACATTCTTATCTATTATCACTCCTCCATGATAAAGTTACAAGTGTTATGCAAACGTCAATGACGACATAAGCCTCCATCCCCCTCACCGAGTTTCTTTAAGTCTTTTGTTCTTTCAAGAACACCAGCACTTTATTTCCTTTTGTGAAATCTCAAAAAACAATTTGCAATATGTCAAAACTTGAGTCAGAAATGCCACAGTTTCCGTTAAGCAGGTGAAATCTATAAGTGGTGTTTACCACTACAAACCTAAACTGATTCAACTGTAATTAAGGGAATGAAACAAATGTTAATCAAAAGGTTCAATTCTCTTTGTCCTACATGCATATCAAATTTCCTTTACAGCAGCGAAACAGACAGAAAACAATGCGACTAAACCTACTAAATGAATTTCTGGAAATTTCATGTAGAGGCAGTCACGATTTTGTTTATATAGAATTTTTCTTCTCCCCCCCCTCCCCCCCCCCTTCCTGGTGCAGGCCTTATTTGTATACTAACAACAATTCAACAGGAACTGTCTGTAAGAGAGTTGGCTCAACTATTCTCAACGCTTGACAGTAAATAAAGGAACATAAATCTGCTTAAAAAAGGAACTTTAATCTATGGGACCTGTGCCCATTGTGTAAGATAATCACAAAAAACAAGTGTTTGAAGTTTCAACCCATTTTATAGTTGGAAGCCATGGTGAGTACAAAAGCTCTCTCTATTCTTCAAATAGTTGAGCCAAAACACTTTGATAGGTCAAATAAACACTAATATAACAATTATTTTGACAACATTATGTTGCTATGCATATTGTACTTGGATCATTCTATTCCATGCAGACACTACAAATTTACTTATTTAAATTCTCTAATCTCAAAGTCAATGTTTTTCCCCCAAGCCCTTGTTAAAAATATTTTGGCATTTTAATTTTTTTAAATCTTATTTTTTATCAAACATAGTCTTTTTTTAAACATTATTATAACAAAGTTGCATAGAATAAGAATCATGTTCGGAACAATGTGACCTTTCCTACCAAATAAGTACATAATTTAACTTTCATAACTATAAATTCTGGAAGAAAAGATGAAAATAAAGATTTTTTTAATGTTTATTCAAATAGAAATCTTGAGAATAAATGAGTGAACACATGGATCTATCCACTGTAGCATTGGAAACCATCAGTTTACTTAAAAGATAGCGTGTCACATCCACTCAATTATAAGAGGACAAAGTAACCGAGAAAATACCAATACCACAGCCATCTACTCTAGTAACAGCAAGTGCTTCAGTTATTGGTAGATATATATTATGCTGCAAAATAATTCCAATTAATAGCAGATTTCATAGACAGCTTCTACGAATGGACGTAATCTATGAGTATTAAAGTTTATTATTTGTCATGCAATCCTCTGGAGATTTCTAGTTAATAATGATACTTCTAGTCTAATATGAAATTTACGACAGATCATTGAGTTTGAATCTAAAAGTACAAAAAAAATAAAATAAAATAAAAAAGCAACAAATAAAAAAGTGAAAAAAAGAATTTGCGCAAAGTTTGAGCATTAGATTATAGATCGGAGTAGTATTTAGAAATACATTGTATTGTAACTGATACAGAAATTCTCAAGCATGAATACTCAAAATATAGGCAACAGTACATTTCTGGATGATATAGGATATTACAACTGGAATAATGCTACAAATATATCTAATCAGGATCACAAGATACAAACAGGAAACCTCAGTGAATCAGAGAGTAGAGGTGGGAACCTTATTTCAACACCAACATACCAGCTTGCTCTTGGACTTATTATGTGGACCTTACCTATAATCATAAGTGTTGGAACAATTGGAAACATTTTTAGCTTTATAGTAATGCTACAGAGAGAAATGCGACAAACATCAACATTTTTCTACCTCGCCGTCCTGGCTGTGGCTGATACGATAGTTCTGTTCATGAGTGCATTTAAAACATGGATACGTCTATGTTCCGGCTTTGAAATGTTACATTTTTCTGATGCAAGCTGTAAACTGTTTACATTCCTCACATATTTTAGCCTTCACATGTCGGCATGGCTTATTGTGGCTGTAACAGTTGAGAGATTTATCGTGGTCTGGTTCCCACTGAAAGCAACATCTATATGCAGTGCAAAACGTGCTAAACTCACAACACTTGGTTTAGGACTTGGCTTTTTTCTACTGAATTCTCACCTCTTCTGGACAGCTGATCTTATCACTGACCCAAATAGTGGCAGGAAAACATGTGCTATGTTACAAAATAACCAATTTCTGTATAAAGAAATAATACCATGGGTACATTTAACTCTCTACTCATTTCTACCATTTTTATCGTTGTTAGTTTTTAACATTTTAATTATAGTGAGCCTTATCAAACACAGACAGATTATTTCTAGTCAGATGACGAGAGCAGACAAACGTACGCGATATAATCACAGGCGCTTGGCTATCACACTGCTGTGTATTTCGTTCGTTTGGATAATAACAACAACACCAAGTGCTTTGTACACTGTACTACCTCTAAAACAAGACAGTTTGAGGAAAGTGGCCAATAACTTCTTAATTAAAGTGATCTGCTATATATTCATGTACATCAATCATTCGATAAACTTCTTTCTCTACTGCATCACTGGGCAAGCCTTCAGACGAGAGTTTATGAAATTAATATGCCGAACATGTCGAAAAAAGAGAAAACCCAAACCAAGACTGACATTTCGAGCAAGCCGAAGCGGAAGTGGACAAGAAACTGTATTCCCATTGATGGAAAATATGTACGGGAATCGTGGAAGTAAGACTAGTCATTCCACTTCATCATATTCTCGTTCTACTTAAGGCATGTAGTAGTACTTTATTTTCTAATTCTATAAATGGCAGTACATTACATTATCATATTCTTATTCCATTTTGAGTTGAAACACATAACACTGGCACCCTGTTGTAAAGTTCATGTCCGATTCCATAATTTTAATCCACGATATATAAAATGGATTCTGATATATAACAATCATATCATAATCAGTTTGTTGACAGGACTAGGATTTTATCTTATTTGTGGCAGTATCCCACCAAAATACATGAGCATAATTAGTTGGTAACAGTTCAATCACATGAAATAAGACCATTTGTTTTAAAATCATTTAAAATCATGTTTTATAATTAGTGAAGAATTTTTTTTTAGCCAAGATAGTCATGAGTTATAATGAGATTCTGAGTGGTATAACCGGGTGACAGTGTATAATTCTCCTTTTATTTTTTTAAATTTTATTTAAATTATGTACAGGCACATTACATAATTACATTTACATTCTATTTTGAGCAAAATCAATCATAATTATATTCTTATTCAAATATGAGTTTAAGCACATTTTAAATACACATGTACATTATACTGTAGTGCTTATTTAGTGTTTAAACATTGCAAAACATTTCCTCTATTCAAATTTTTTCAATTTGCAAATTATTTTTGATTCTATGTGTTTATACTTTACATGTACAGTTTATTTCATAATTCAATTTCAGTGTTAGCATATCATATATTGTTTCTTTTTCTTTGTGTGTTAGCAAGTATTTAGTTCACAATTACCATGTATCATTTCCTTGTTTAACCTTCACCATGCATGAGATCATTTCCTTGTTTAACCATCATCACAAATGGCATCATTTCCTTGTTTAACCTTCACAAAACATGACATCATTTCCTTGTTTAACCTTCACCATGCATGACATCATTTCCTTGTTTAACCTTCACCAAGCATGACATCATTTCCTTGTTTAACCTTCACCAAGCATGACATCATTTCCTTGTTTAACCTTCACCATGCATGACACCATTCCCTTGTTTAACCTACACCATGCATGACACCATGTCCTTGTTTAACCTACACCAAGCATGACATCATTTCCTTGTTAACCTGCACCAAGCATGACATCATTTCCTTGTTTAACCTGCACCAAGCATGACATCATTTCCTTGTTTAACCTGCACCAAGCATGAGATCATTTCTTTAACCATGTATCACATCATTTACATGTTTAACCTGCACCAAGCATGACATCATTTCCTTGTTTAACCTGCACCAAGCATGACATCATTTCCTTGTTTAACCTGCACCAAGCATGACATCATTTCTTTAACCATGTATCACATCATTTACATGTTTAACCTTCACCATGCATGACATTATTTACATGTTTTTACTTTTACCCTTTTACTTTAACCTTTTACTATGCATGACAATGACAACATTATCTTGTTTAACCATACATGACATAATTTCCTTATTTGTAACCCATTTGGAAATAATTTTCTTATTAAACATACCCATATTTGGCATCTTCAGGATGACAACATACTTACATACCCATAATCTAATTACATGTAAAGCATCAGGGACTTTATAAATAACTTGTCATCTCAAATTTTATTTGATCTATCTTAGATACATAAGATATTTTGAAAGCCTGATGAAAACTCATGAGAATAGAAAGTTACATAAAATAGTAAAATAAACTAAATGTTCATGCATTTACATGAGCATCATCACTATGATGATCTGTATCACACTCATTTTCTCACTCTTATGTTCAGTTCTTCTATATATTTTTGGTATGGTATTATTGAGATACTATGATTTCAATAAACAAGCCTTTTTGTTTATTTATATTGTTTGATTTTATTCGATTGCATACTGATTATACAGTTAGTGAAAGAATACATAAATTTTCAATGGTCCTCTTCAATGTCTGAAACATAATACAAGGGCTGTTAGAAAAGTATCTGGAAAGGTTTCATAACTTTTTTTTATTTACAAACATATCTTGATAAATAAACGTTTGTAAATAAAGAAAATAAATTACACAGTATACATGTGATATAGTGCAAAGACCTTTTTTTGAGAGTATGAATACACTCGGATCACAAATCATGACAACTTGGTGCCCTACCTTGTCTCGTTATTTAACAGCAATGACATACAAATATTTTAACCAGAAATATCTTGGACTTTGACAGTATTATCTTTTTTTATTACTTTTTTCCAAATAAATTCTGCCTCAATTTTAATTATACAGACTGTAATACACAGCTGCTACTATATAAGTTTAATACTTGTAATATTTTGTATCAAATTTCCTCTGAAGTGAATTCTTTGAATTTTCAGTTTACTATTGTTTTTCTCTGTACCTTGAAATATTATGCAAAAAATAATTACAGAAGAAAATGTTTATTGAGTTATGGACTCAATTCTCAAATCTGTGACTTACTTAATGCAAGTCAATGTTTTATTTGCACATATGACTTTCAGTTTGTGCAAAGGTTACAATTGCTTGAATTTTTAAACCTTCATTCGACATCTTGTGAAGTTAAGTTGGATATAGGTAGCAGCAAGCAGGTTTTTTTTAGTATTCTTTGATCATAAAAACAACATAGAAAAATATTGAAGCTATCATTATAAGTTAGCTATTGCCAATCTTAGATCATATTCAAATATGCCTTTAATGTATGCATAATTAAATGGTTATTAAAATCCCATAATAGCAGCTGTAAGAAGAGAAACCATTCTACTTTGAGAGCTGTCACTAATTCAGTGTAAAACATATCAACGTTTAATGTTGCTATCAATGACAAATATTCACAATACATCAATATATGCAGTTTTATTTATCTATACTTTACTAAAATACCCATTATTTCAGCAAAATATATTGTTCTGTGTATAAAACTAGAAATGTGTCCATAGGACACGGGTGCCCCCACCGCAACACTGTTCTATCAATCTTTTTACTAAGTCAAGGGAAATAACTCTACAAATACTGGATAAATCCACAAGCGAAACCCCAGGTGCAAATCTAAAATATGTTGAGCAACCTGCCCATAAGGTTTATTGACTATGTCAAATCCTTTCAGAGAAACTTGCGACACAAGTTGAAAATTGCAAAAAGTTTCTAAGTGAAGGGCAATAACTCTAAAAATACTAAATAAATCCAGACGAAAATACCTGGTGCACAACTGCACATGCTAATCAATATTCCTGTAAAGTTACATGACTCTAGGTCAAATACTTTTTGAGTTATGTGCGACACATGTTGAAAATTGCCAAATTTTACTAAGTCAAGGGCAATAACTCTGAAAATATTAAAAATATCCAGATGAAAATACCCAGGTGCACAACTACACATGCTGATCAACATTCTTGTAAAGTTTCATGACTCTAGGTCAAATACTTTTTTGAGTTATGTGTGACACAAGTTGAAAATTGCAAAATTTTACTAAGTCAAGGGTAATAACTCTAAAAATATGCACATGAAAATACCCAGGTGCACAACTACACATTCTGATCAACATTCCTGTAAAGTTTCATGACTCTAGGTCAAATATTTTTGAGTTACGTGCGACACAAGTTGAAAATTGCAAAATTTTACTAAGTCAAGGGCAATAACTCTGAAAATACTAAAAATATCCAGACGAAAATACCCAGGTGCACAACTACACATGCTGATCAACATTCCTGTAAAGTTTCATGACTGTAGGTCAAATTCTTTTTGAGTTACATGCGACACAAGTTGAAAATTGCAAAATTTTACTAAGTCAAGGGCAATAACTCTGAAAATACTAAAAATATCCAGACCAAGATACCCAGGTGCACAACTACACATGCTGATCAACATTCCTGTAAAGTTTCATGACTCTAGGTCAAATACTTTTTGAGTTACGTGCGACACAAAAGTGAACGGAAGGACGGACAGACGGACGGACGGACAAGGGTAAATCTAAATGCCCGCCACTAACGTGGGGGCACAAAAATTAAGTTTAATGTTCTTAAATGCCCTCTGTCTTTTTCTGACATCATATTTTGCCATCACTGGTACAAAACATGTTAATTTATTCATACAATAAATTGAACGACATGAGTAAATGAAGACATTATTCTTTCATATAAAGGGCACCTGCTTCTGTCAATGATGTTTTAAGTGAATTTTCATCATTTCTATATGTTTTATCAGCTAGTCTAATGTACAGTTTTGGTATTGATGATTAATCAACAAAGAAATAGTAATGATATATCAATGTCAATTCTGTCAATGACAGCTTCACATTCAAGATACATGTACTCACAATCATCACCATCTTTTTCAGTAAATTGAATACAAAATATTTACGCCAAATACAATGTAAAGTTATATCATGAACTGTACATTGGTAGTTTCTGTAACTTTTAGTAGCTTAAAATCAAGCTGCTATCAATATAAATTAGGGTCAGATTTCATGATAGACTAGCTTCACTTAAAGAAACTCTCCCACACACAGTGATTTGAAATAAAGTGTCATCAAAAGATAAATTTACACTGTAGATTTATATATATATTTACATGAAACTTGATGCTTAATTCATGTCTTGCTAACAGAAATATCTGCTTATTTAAGTTTTGGAACTTTTATTGTGATGTAATTTAAAACCATAAACAATGCTTTAATTTGTAAAATATTTATCTAGAACGAGATTTATAAACAGCAGCATTGACATCTATAGATCATTACCATATGCACAATAAAAAGCTATATAAAATTATGCATTCTTCATTTGTATAAGAAGCCAGAGCACCATTTTTATGAATGAAGAATGTGCTTGTTTATTTAAATTTTAAGAAAAAACAAATTCCAGAAAATATCATACATGTAAACTATGTTTATAGCAGCCTTTAGTAGGTCAGTAGATTTAGGACAGCATGATAATTATGCTAGCCTGAATAAGACAGGCCGTCTATACTTAAGAGGATTTAGTGTCTTGTACAGGATATTTCATTAGTTGTTTTTTTATACATGTAAAACATCATGTGGTATTTAGGAAACTATTAATTACCTTAAGAAACTGTTACTTAAGATTTTTACTTAAAAACTGTATTCAATTAAGGCTTTCCCCTTTTTCTTTTATAAATAATTGTTGTATAATTGTATCCTACTTGGGATCACAAGTATAAATTTGTTTTTACATGGCTTTCCCTTTATCTGCATTGCCTTTTGCATAAAATCTCTCAATTTACAGCCCCATATGAAGTAAAGACAAATTCAAATAAATGCAAGCTTTTTAACTTATTAAAATGGTGTGGCAGCCCTAGAACACTCAGCTGAAGTCCATGGTAATGTAACATACCAATATTTTACTCTTCAAGATCTATAATTTCGATGATGATTCTTACAGTTCAATTTAGTTTTCTATAATAGTCTACGTCACTAAAATGTCTCGGAAGGGATGGGGGTGGAAAGACAATTGTCTTTCAGAACTACTTAATTAAAATGATAACTTTGCTTACTGCCTAAAATTGTTTCATTAATATAATAATCATATTTTTCAAAACCTTAAATTTCATCTTGAAGTATGGTAGAATGCTGTTACACTGACTTTTCAAATTTCTTGCAAAACTATATTTGCAGATGAGGGTTCCAGGGAAATTCTGTCTATCTTGATAAAGGCAAAAGATGAAAATTCCTCAACTCAACTTATGGGCCGGGTGCACCTTTTCCTTTGATTTATTAAAACTCTATTAAGGTATGTTTTTTTTTCTTTCCAAAAATGTTCATTTTAACATTGTTAACATTGTGCAATGGCTTTCTTGACACAATTACAATAAATACTCAAATAATACTAATCACAAAAGCTAACCCAAGTCAATACACTTGACTGGATAGATTTTTTCAAATTTAAAACCAATTTCAATTTCTCTCATATTAAATCTCTTTTGAAAAAAAATCATAATTTGTAAAATTTCAAAGAACTTGTTAAAATCTGTATCAAACTCCCTTAGGATGTACCAGCTTCTGATAGCAAAGCAATAATTTTATTCTATAAATGGCATAAATCTCTGTTAAATCTATGTCTACTAATGGCTAAGAAGCAATTTTTAGCAAAATTTCAAGATGTAATTACAATGGCAGATGATGAAGTGGAAATAATGTACCATGACAAGTCTGATGAACATGCTTTATAATGAGGTAGAATAAGTGACAGATATCTTCCTACAAACCAGGGCAACTCCATTATTGTTCATTTTATACAGACATATTATGACAGCAATTCAGCTAAAATATGATCATTAAAATTTATTTCTAATACAAGATCTAGCTTTAGGAACACTTGTTGTTTGGCGAGCGTATAACATACTACAAATGTACATATTTAGTACATTTGTAAATACATGTGGTAGCTCAACTTTGACATATTTGTATTTTAAATACCTGCCATTACCAATGAACAGTTCTAAATTCACAATAAAACAATTCCATTATAAAAGTTCAGATTTTCCTATTACAGCTGTACACAATATTGAAAGAAGAACCATCTCTAAAAATAACTATTCAGCTTTCTAAAATCTTACAAGTGTCAGTATATCTTTGTCTGTAATCATCTTTTACTGTACTATCAAGGTTTCTACAATAATTTTGTGAAAGTAGACCTACAAACTTATGTCATCACACCAGTTTTACTGACAGGGCATATAATTTATCATAAATTACAGGATCTATTCTGACAGTAACAATATCTGATTCTTACTTACATGTTGTACCAAATTAAGGACAAGCAGTCTAGGCCAAAACAAAGTGATCAAGTGGTTCATGTAAGCCAAAACTGTCTCTTTTTGCCTTGATCCATTTATATTTAAATATTTTACCAGTCCAAAATCAAAGAGACAGCAGTAAGTAAATTGCCTTGAAAAAAAAAATCTTAAAACCTGCAATGAAATGAAATGTTTTTCCTTCTGATAAACTTAAAATATTTTCTAGTATGCTAACAGAATCTCAGTTGATCATTACATTTTGGTCTTAAAAGATCTCTTCTCATAAGCCATCCTTAATGGAAAAGGATTTAAAAATAGATTGATTTTACTTGCGAGAATAGTGTTTAAGACGTGGGCAAAACTGTCACTTTAATAGTATACTTATGATGTTAGTGTGCATTTGCATGAAATAAATTATAACAAGAACAAAATGTGGTTACGATAGGTCTTTAAATATTCTTTTTCATGCTGTAAATCATAACCATAATATTCTGTTCAGCTAATTTTTAATTGACAAGACTTTGTGTTACTTTGACTGTTAAATATTTTTCAGGATTTCTGTGTTGTACAAGTCAAGAATACTCTTCAACAAGACAATCACCACTTACACCTGTGACATCATAAATAAAGGCAACAAGATAATTACAACTACAACCTGTGTCATCATAAGACCAGTTAACAAGATAATAACATCAAGAAACTGTGACAACAAAGAAACAGACTACAGGATAATACAACAACATAAGAAGTCAAAAAGATAATCCCAAGTACCATTGACAAAATAAAAACAGTCAACAAGATAATGGCAACAACCATTGACAACATAAAAACAGTCAACAAGATAATGACAACAACATAAGAAGTCAATAAGATAATCTCAAGAACCATTGACAACATAAAAACAGTCAACAAGATAATGACAACAACATAAGAAGTCAATAAGATAATCTCAAGAGCCATTGACAACATAAAAACTGTCAACAAGATAATGACAACAACATAAGAAGTCAATAAGATAATCTCAAGAACCATTGACAACATAAAAACAGTCAACAAGATAATGACAACAAGAAACATCAAAACATATCTGTGACAACATAAAACAGTCATGAAGATGATTTTAAATTGAACTTGACTACAATCTGTGACAATAGTCAACAAGATAATCACGATGAAAATCTTTGACATGTCTACAAGACAATCACCACATAAAAACATGACCTGACTGACAATAAGATAATTTACATCTGTAACAATATATGAGTCGCGTCACGACAAAACCAACAGAGTGCAATTGGGACCAGCATGGATCCAACCCAGCCCGCGCATCTACACAGTCTGATCAGGTTCCATGCTCTTCACTTACCACCTCTATTACAAGTGGAGAGACTGAAAACAGCATGGATTCTTATCAGACTGCGCAGATGGGCAGGCTAGTCTGGATCAATGCTGATCGCAGACGCACTATGTTGGTTTTTTTCATGACGCATCTGACATGAAGCCGGTCACCCAGACAACACAACAATGTTTACAACTTTACAGATTGCATTTCACTTTTGAAATACCGTAATCAATCGCAAATTCACTGTGATACTTCATATACCTACCTAAAGTACAGGAATCTTATAATTCTTTGCAAACATGCAACAATAAGATTAAACAAAGACAAAATGAATGTCTTTTTCAAAGACATTAGACACTAGGTAGAATCATTTGTTACAACAAGAATAAAATTTGTTACAGACAAATGCCACCAAATAAGAACAGGAAAAGAACTTGTGACAGAATTTTGCCACAAGTTTAATTCTGAAGTTGCGGAGCAGTTTGAAACTGTCTTTAACCCTTTATCTACCCATAAAACCAGTGAAGACCAAGATCAGCTGGCAAATTTGTTCCATTAGATTATACATGTCTACCTCCCTGCGAGGGGTTTGACATTAACGGAAGAAAAATAGATAGATCATGGTCTTCACCATTTGCAATTCTGTCAGAATTTATAAGGATGAATGGTTTTACCCATATTGGCAGATGAACAAGTCTATCTAAGATATTAACCATGGAAAGGGCTCAATGTTTTTCAAGCTTTTTTATTTTCATTTGAATAAATATTGCATCATAAAGTAAGAGAGAATATGAAGAATAATAATTTGTTATCAACTTAATTCACTTCATTGTCTAATATGAATAATCAATGTGAGGAAAGAGAATTGAATAATTCTGTCAAGTAGCTCAAACATTTCTGTCCATCCTGGAAACCTTTTGTTTACGCGATTGTACTTACTGAAAGAATTTCTCAAAGACATACTAAGTGCTTTATTCAATATGAAACAATGTGGGTATAGACTTATAAATTATGTGAAACAAAAAACCTATAGACATTTCAAAACAAATATTCCAGAGCTAATGTGTTTTTATTTGCTTATGGAAGTAGTTCCATCAACCAATAAGAGCAAGGCAATCAATATATAGCATTTACAATAATAGATAAAGAAAATTTAGCCACTTTACTAGATAACAAAATCTTTAACCTTGTTGATTCTCAATTTCACTGACAATGAAAATGGTTTACATAACAATAGGTGTAAAATTGTATCGTGTTTTGTATTGTAATATTTTCTGTTTGTACCCATTGTAAGATTAAAAGAACTTAAAGCTTGATAGAACAAAACAAGTATAACAAAACACTGTATATACACATGTACCTATAAATCAATTGTTTTAAAAACTGGTCAATGTATTAATCAATATCTACAGTATGCAATGCTGACATATAGGAAAATGTTCACTTTCGTTTGAAACTCATTTCAAATTTCAATATAAAAGAATTCAGAACATTATTATGGTACAATGTACGTAAATCTACCATTTTGCCATTGTTTCTTACTATCTTTAATCAACGACTAAAATGTAGTACAGTGTCAGATTCATGGATTTCAATATTAATAATAGAGCACCAAGATATTAAAATGTTTTAATCATGGGCAAAATAAAAGTTTTTTGCCTGACAACAATAAAATAATCAGAGTAACTTGACATTTAAAAAAAAAACCCAGACAAACTTAAAATTGAGCACACCACTAAAATAAATGAAACATAAACATGAAGACCACTGGAAAAATATGGTTGCATGGATGTGCTTCCCACTCCCCCATCAAAATCTTGAAACACTCCCCACACTGCATTCATACTCCATTAAATAACAACATGTTCTATCAGAGTGATTCTGTTTAACAAAGTTCATTTGGGTTCATTTAAATAAGCTTTTAACTACATGCACCTGATAACAGGCAAGTAAATAAAAAAACAATTAAAAAAACACTATGACATTTCTAGTGTGTTCATGCATGTTTATAGAGTACAATCAAAGGGATATTTGAGTAACACAATGAAGTTATTTCCTGCTTGTATGACAACAAATCAAATTTCTTCTTTTATCACTGTATTTTATTCAATGAGGCATATGAACAATGTCAATAAAACAAGAGATTCATGATGGCCCTGAATTGCTCAACTGATATAAATTACTAGAAAAAGTCATGTAGAAGAGAAGAATTAGGTCCAATTAGAGGAGTTATTCTTTGAGCTCCAAAGTTTATAAAATATTTGATGTCCATGACATTCAAAATAACTTACTTCTTCACAAAATAAGACTTAAAATTAGTGTTCATAACCTTAAGGTGACCCACAATTTCAACCCCAGCAATTTCTGTGTACCAAAGTTCAGTATGATAAATAAACCAATGGGCTACCTGAAATAATGTTAGATACAAATCATTCTTTACAAAGAGACTACATTTTGATGACCTTCAAATAAAGGCCATATTAGATCACCTCAATCATGTCAGAAAAGCATTAACATTATCTTCATTTTGGTAGTTTGGATTCCTAGGCACAGCATGTTTTCCAATTCTTAAAAAATGTTCCAATAACCTTTCACTGACAACCATCGTTTTATTGTTGGTATACAAGTAAGCATGATTTGGTGCAGTTATATTTTTTTTTAAATCCTGTAAGTCCTATATTTAGCATTCCTTTTATATATATCTACAAGAAATATAAGGGCTTCAGGAAATATGAAAATCCTGACTTCAGAAAAAAATAACAAAAACATTCATCTATTGTTTGTTTGTTTGTTTGTTTCATTTTACGCCTTTTCCCAGTAGTTCAGTCATATAGGCGGATAATTTCCTAACCATCATTCCTGGAGAGTTACATCAGTACTAGACTACCTTCCTCTGTGCACAACTACCAAAGCATCTCCCGGGGATTGAACCTTCACCAGAGAGGTAACTGAATTAGAAGTCATCGACTCTAACCCCTTGACCACGGAGGCGGTTTTCATCTATGGTACAAAATCACTTGTCAGAAGACTGTTTTCCCGCACATGACAGGAAAATTGGTAAAACTACATTTATCATATTACAATAAAAAATGTAAAATAATGTTCACCTGTCGTATTTTTTCCATGGCTAATGTACCGATGTAAACCATGACATAATACTCCTGCCATCTTGGTTTAGGTAATGTCTGTCCTAACACAATATATGTGTACATAAACAGGAACACAAAGTAAAAAATCTGAAAAATAATACATAAAATAATGTTATTGTTATGATTGCATTGTAACAGGTTAGATACCAAGCATTCAAAGAAACAAGAAAGTGTATAGGTACAAGCACTGCTGAGATATCAAATATTTAAGAAATATGTCAGTAAATGAATTAACCTGGAACATTGAATGACTGGCCTATCTTTTCACCATGTCTGCATTAAGTTTCAATGGTGATCTTTTACAAAACAAAATTCACATTATATTTAGTGTGAAGTAGACAAATTTACTGTAACCATTGCTTTTTTTGTTGAAATTGTCAAAGATTTTCAAGTTTGTCAAAGATTTTCAAGTTTTATATTACACATGACCACATATTACAAAATATTTGAAATACATTGATAAAAGAGATGCAGTGATAATACAGAGTTAAAGTATACTATGAGTATGTATATATGAGCAGCTATACCAACAAAACCAACATAGTGTTTTTGCGACCAGCATAGATCCAGGCCAGCCTGCGCATCCGCACAGTCTAATCAGGATCCATGCTGTTCCGTAATCAACCCGATTACCAGTAGAGAAACTGATATCAAACAGCATGGGTACTGATCAGACTGCCTATGCTGCTGTTATATGAGTGGAGTAAATTTTTCATTAGGTCTTTCTTTCCCTGCCCAATATAAGAAACATAAGAAGAATAACCTCAGAATATCTTGGCCGCTAATGTTAGCCTTTGAATGAAATGAAATATGTATGAGAATCACAAAATGCACCTCTTCAAATTTAATATGATAAGTTATCATTAAGTTTCCTAAAAATTCATCATTTGACTGTGAACCCATGTGGCCAGCAATCCTAGATTAGCAGTCTGACAAGTTAACCCACTCAGCAACTCTGCCTCAAATAATTCCAGCTGAAAAATTGATAGCCGGGCAGAAAACACTTGACCGCAAAAAATAAGAGGCATTTGTAAGAAACAACAAACTTTTTGAAAAATGACAACTATTTCAGAAACTTACTGTATTGAACCAAAATTTTGTAATTGGTGCGTTGTAGAATTCATATATTTTCTTGCCAAGTCGAAGAGGACTTTTCTTCTTCTTGTATACATGGTTAGAGTACATACTATTGTCTCCCATAAACATGCCATTCTCCTTTACTATAGCTGTACTATTTACAGGGCATGTAGCAAAACTTGACTCTATCTCATCCCCATATGCATTCTGAAAATATAGAAAGACATCAGTATTATCTAGCTGTATTGTCTTAAATTTTTTTTTTTGTTTTTTTGTTTTGGGTTTTACGTGACATTGACACAGTATAGGTCATAGCACGACGTTCTGTTCCATCTTCACTGGTGGAGGAAGACCTCGGGTGCCCTTCCGTGCATAATTTCAGGCATGAAAGTGCACCTAAGTAGAACCAAAGACGTTCAGTAAGCTTGTGGGATAGCTTCCTCATATGAAAAAATCCAAAGTCCCTGTCGGAATTCGAACCCACAGCGGTGAGGGGCATGTGGTTTGAAGTCAATGGCCTTAACCACTCGGCCAGGGACGCCCCGTCTTTGAAAATGTTTTTTATTCAGGGATTACAATGTATATGTAATGAATCTATAAAGGGGAACTATTTATTTAATTAATTAATTACATGCATCATTCTATAAATAAATTTTGGATAATAACAATTCATAAGAGATAATAATTATAAATCTATTAAAGTAAATTACAATTTAAGAGAGGAAATCTATAAATCTTTTTTCGATAGTAACAATTTATAAGAGGTAAATCTGGTGGTGTTACTGGAAGTTTACACTCCAGTAAGCCACGTTTAATTTACCAGAGCACCGTTTAACCAGCTCCGTTCCTGGGCAAACCTTCAATCAGTTACCAGTACTATAGGACCATAGAACCAGTCATACATTTTAATAACTAATAATGTATAAGATTATTCACCTGATCATCCTCGAATGAGCTGACAGACAGGTTATCATCACCACTTAATTCACTATCCAGCTCATCTAAATGTTCCTCCATTGTCTGAGGCATAAGTTGTAACTCCTCTTTACTTTTAAACTCCATTGCTAGGATATAGGGAGGGAAAAATATACCCAATAACACCTGAAATAAACATAATATCTGACATTATTTCCGTATTAATACTCAAACTTATTTCCAATTAATGTTAAAGGAGTCTCAGCATGTTCAAGTATTGAATTGACATATAAATATTAAGATAACAATTATTTATATTTGCTTCTTTGTATATAACCCTTACCATATTTAAGTTTGTCCTATTTTATATATGTAACTGTCCATCAATAGTTTACCATAAAAATCATAAAATTAAGCTGCCAAAAGTTGTAAGTACAGACCCTGGGAGACTGCACAAATGTCCCTTCTAGCAATTTTGAAAATTAAAATATAACAAAACTGTATAAGGCATGCATGGTGACTTTCTAGCTTTCACTGGGTGAGAAAAATCTCACAAAAACAACAACAACCCTCTCTGATTTTAAATTTATACACAGCTTTCTATACATACATGTATTTTTTAACTAAAAAAGAAATGAATTTTCTTGGTGAAATTCCAACCCACAAAAGTAAGGGGCAAAGAAGTTATATCACAGACCTTGAATTTTAACATACTAAAATACAGATGCATAAAAGACCTGATCTATAACAAGGTTCTAATTTTATCAGGGATTGTTCACCTCATATTAAAGAAGTTTATAAAAGGCTTCTTCCCAATGGAAATTTTCTTTAAAAATCATTTTTCATGTATAAAGGTAATTATTTTTATCATGTTACAAGGTTCTACCTCATAAGTAACTAGAAACCTGGCAAGAGCTAGCAACCTGATGAGGTATGTGATTTAAACCCGTAGTTTAAGAAATAAAAGTACATCTTATCTATCAGACAGGTCACAAAAAGTCAATGTGTCTGGTGTTTTATCTGAACCAGCCGAAGTTGTCTCAGGAGTGCCTCAGGGCTCAGTCCTTGGGCCCCTACTATTTTTGATATACATAAATGACATCCATCTTCATGTTAAACAGTCAACTACCGATATGTTTGCAGACGACACTTCCCTTACTTCTACTGGAAGTACTTTAACGGAAATGAATTATAATCTTCAAACAGATCTTGATAGTGTTAGCACATGGTGTAGGCAAAATGCAATGATATTAAATGCACAAAAAACTAAGGCCATAAATTTCTCTTTAAAAAGTACTAAATCAAAAAATACTGCTTCATCTACTCTGCACCTTCAAAACAAAGAGATAGAATTTACAGACACTGAAAAACTGCTAGGAGTCCAGGTTGACAAAAATCTTAAATGGAAAACACAAATTCAAAAATTTTTAATATTATTAAAAAATGCAATTCACAGCTCTATTTGCTTCTTAGAATCAAACAGTACCTTGATCTCCACTCCAGAAAACTCTTTTTTAATGCTTATATTTTGCCACATATTGACTACTGTTGCACTATTTGGGGAAACTGCAGTAGTGAATTACTTTCGCAAATTGTCAACTTTCAAAAAAGAGCTGCAAGAATTATTTTAGACAAAAGTTTTGATACCCCATCAAATATTCTATTTAAAGAATTAAATTGGATGTCCTTTGATCAAAGAATTATGTACAAAAAGGCAATCCTCATGTATAAATCTATAAATGAACCATCCTTCCCTATTTATATGAAAAATAAATTCCAAACAATAAATGACAAACATGACTTTAACTTAAGATCTATACAAAATGAAAAACTAACTGTACCCAAACCAAAAACAGAATTTTTTAGAAAATCATTTAATTACTCTGGTCCTGTGGTATGGAACAGCATACCAATCCATATTCGAAATTCTGATACCCTGAGGAAATTTCAATCCTCCTATATCCAGTGGCAATTTTCTAACTAATTTTTTGTACATATTGTTTCAAAAACATATACTTTCCATGCTGAAGTTATGAAAATGTCACTTCTCTATGTAAGAAGAAAAAATTGTTTACTTATTTATTGTATTGATATGATGTTTAATGTACATATTTATGTTGTCTAAATGTTGATTGTGATTGTATTTTATGTTGTTTTGTATATACTGAGGCCCGCATGGAAGATCGGGAAACTGAATGTGTTAGCCTCATAAAATAAAGTCGTTACTTACTTACTTACTTACTTACTTACTTACATGTTATTAAATCAGTGTCTAGATTAATTATTCTCCCCACTCCTGTTAACATTCTTGATTAAAGGTTCATAATGACTGAGCATACCTTTAAACTTGTACTTTTCCTCATCCTCAATCCTCCCATCCACATGTCATTGAGTAACTGTTGACAGCAGGCGTGTGCGATAAACTCACGATGGTTAGCATTTACTGCGAGACTAAGACATGTCTGGTCACTGAAGTTCTTCAGCTCGTAGGTGAGCAGTTGTTGGGTATAATCATCATCTGTCTTATAGCAATGCTCTAATAATTCCAGTGCTAAAGTCTGAAACTCTCTGTGGGGGAAAATAGACAAAAAAAAAACCAAATTAAAGCACTTGAAATCTTAATGTCAAACATATCAAGGCTTCAAACAACATTAAGATAAAAAACTTTTCTCTGCTTACAAAAAAATCCATGCAGCAAACACTTACAGAAAGAGAACAACCTTCTGAGTGAATGAAAATTTATATAAAAAATCCCAATCAGGAAAACAAGTTATTAATTTCATGGCTAAAATATTTATCTAATCTAATTTGAACAAGAGCCATGTCAACATGGCCATCCCCCCCCCCGAATGTGTTTGCTCATTGGAAGAATGTATATGTAGTAGAGCGGAATAATTCCATTTTAAGAGGTCTTTTGGTAATGAAAACTGATGGCTATAGTGATTACAGATTTGAAACCTATGTGAATACTGATGGCTGAAAATAACAAAGGGCAATTACTGAAAAATAATGCAGGGTAGGTTATCATTCTTGTGTGCTGCATCCCTCCTCAGTAAAATCTATCCACCTATGAAGTTTCAAGTTGATACCTCAAATACTTTTTGAGAAAAAAATTGAATTGAAAAATTAGTATGAAAAAGAACAAAGGGCAATAACACAACAATTATAAAAGGTAGAGTTATCATTCTTGTGCAGTGCACACCTCCTGAGTGAGTTCTATGCACCTATGAAGTTTCATTTTGATATCTCAAAGGCTTTTTGAGTTATGCTCTGGACAAAAATTAATTTTGAAAAATAACAAAGGGCAATAACTCAAAAATAATGCAGGGTAGAGTTATCATTCTTAAGCACTGCACTCCTCCTCAATGAGATCCATCCACCTTTGAAGTTTCAAGTTGATACCTCAAATACTTTTTCAGATAAGCTCTGGACAAAATAGCATGAAAAAAAAAACAAAGGGCAATAACTCAAAAATTGTATAGAGAAGAGTTATCATTCTTGCGCACAACAAACCTCCTCAAAAAAGAAACTATCCCCCCTTACATTTCATGTTGAAAATCTCAAACACTTTTTTGAGTTTTGCCCCCACTCAGGGGAAAAATTTGGGAAAGGAAAAAAAACAAAGGGAAAAACTCAAAAATTTTTAAAAGAATTTTTCCCTTCTTGTGGGACTGCACACCTCCCGAAATGAGATCTAAGCACCCTTAATGAAGTTTCATGTTAATATCTCAAGTTTTTGGGGCTTTTCTCTGGACAAAACATTTTTTTAAAAAAAACAAAAGGGGAAATTTAATCAAAAACATTTCCCAAATTTGATTTTATTTTTTCATCACTCCCCCTCAATTTTTAAACTATCCCCCCATTTAAAATTTTTAAAATTGATAATCAAATACTTTTAAAATTTTCCACGGGCAAAAAAGTTGGGCGGGAAAGGGCGGACGGAAAGGAAAGAAGGTCCGGAGACTATTTTCTATATCCCGCCCAAATTTTTTGGGGGGGGATAAAAAACCCTTTTTAAGGTTTTTGAACCAAATTTCCCTTTTGTATCCCAAATTTTGGCTTACAAACCCCCAACCCCTGGGGTGAAGGGAAAACACCATAAACCCCTAAACCAAAATCCCCACTTTTTGTTTTTGGGCCCTTTGGGTGTTTTGGGTTTGCAAATGTTCCCAAAATTTGGGTGTTATGGATTTTTAAAAATTTTTAAAGATTTGGGGTTTTTTGGAAATAAATTTGATTTATTTGGGGTTTGGGGAAAAAATTTTAAGATTTGGGTATTTTTTTGAGTTTGAAAATGTTTTAAATTTTGGGTGTTTTTTTGGGGGTAAGATTTGGGTTTTGGGGGTTTGAAAAAAGTTTTAAGATTTTGGGTGTTATTGGGGTAAATTGAAAGGTTTTTTTTTTTTTTGAAAATTTAAAACCCTTTTTGGGGTTTTTTTTGGGGGAAATTTGAAAATTTTAGGGTTTGGATTTTTTATGGAGTAAGATTTTGGGGTTTTTTGGTTTTTAAATTTTTCTTTTTTAAATTTTGGGTGTTTTTTTTGGAAAAAGATTTTTATTTTTGGTTTTTTAAAATTTTTTAAGACCTTGGGGTTTTTTGAGTTGAAAAATTAATAAATTTTGGGTTTATTTTGGGGTTTAAAAAAATTTTTAAGATTTGGGTGTTATTGGGGTTTGAAAATGTTTAAAATTTTGGGTGTTATTGGGGTTTGGGAAAAATTTTTAAAATTTGGAAAGTTATTGGATTTTTAAAATTTCTAAACCAAAATGTAGAATGTTTTTAATTTTTTTTGGGCTTGAACTTACAAGGGATATTTTTCGTAAACTTTTCTTTATCTTTTCCCCCTCTTAAATTTTTATCATGATCGCCTCATGTCCATCCCTTTTTATAAACTTACATGGCCCTCAAGGGCCCGTAAAATATAATGCATAGGAAAAACCCTTTTTTCATTTTGTGATAAATTTTTGGGTTTTTTTTAAACCTTTGCCATTGTTTAAAGGGTAAAAAATCAAAAAAAAACTTAATAATGTAATATAACCAAAATTTTTAAAATAATTTAAAAAACTGCAAAAAATCAAGGGCCCTATAATTTTTAAAATGGTTAATATCATTTTTCACAATTTTATAAGAAAAAACCCTTTCCCCTTAAAAAATTTTCATAATGATAACATTTTTTAGTGTTCTTCATTCATTAATTCTGGGGAGGGAACCCGTTTCCGGGCAGGGTTTCGAGTTTTTTTTTAAATTTTATAAATTTTTAAAAATAAAAATCCCTTAATAAAATACATACCAAAAAACCCGACTCTAACTAGTCCAAAACACAATTTAAAACTGCCTGTACTAACCAAAGTACAAAATAAGGTTTTAAATTTTGGTTTATCCAAAAATTAAATTGTTTCACTCTTGCAAAACCAAATTTTTCCCCGGGCATAATTTTAAACTGCTATTTGTTATGTTTTTAAAAATGATAATTACTTTTAATATTTTAAAAAAAATTTTTTTTCTCACCCTTTGTTTTTTATAAAATAAGCTATTTTTCTAAAAAGTTTTGATAGGAAAAAAACGATCAAAATATGGGGTTCCAAAAAAGACTGAAAAAATGAAAAGGGTATTTTTGTGTTTAAAGGCGCAAATTTAAAATGCGAAAATGGAGTAAACCTAGCTAAACACCGTTTTCCGATACATTACAGATTTAGCTCTGAGGAATAACACCAATGAACTTCGAATGAAGTACATTGTGCATTAAATTGCTACCAAATTATATCCCGAAATAAACAAAAATTGCGCATGCGCAGAACAATATTACATGCCCCAAAGGTATATAATGCTGTTTTAAAACACAGGTAAGATATCCTCACGAAATTTTAAATGATGTATCAACTTGGAAGGAAGTTTATTTTCTCAAATAATCAAACCAAGCATCTTCATGACATATAATACCGATCATCATCAATAAAGCCAAAATTAAGCCGTTATAATCATTTATCCGGAAACTGGTATTCGTCCGGAAACTGGTTCCTGCCAGATTTTCAAACATGTTCTTATTGTATTATTTGCAAAAAAAAAAAACAAAAAAACCTAGTGAAATGACAATTTTTAAAATACAGTGATGAATATGTATTTTCAAAAAAAGAGGGACAATTACAATACATGATTTCAAAGGAATTTAACTGAAGTCACTAAAAAAGCAAAGAACTATTTTAAAATAATTTTAGTGACTAAGGTTTTGTTTTTTCAAAAATTTTCTCTTATTAAATTTTAAACCCGTAAAAAAAAAAATTTATATCAAACTTTAATTTGGAATGGGTATACCTTTGGGAATTTTTTTTATGAAACATTCCCTTTTCAAAAACTTTTAAAAAGGGAGAGGCCCAAAAAAAGGGAAAAATTTTCAATACCTCATAATGTTTAAAAATCTTTAACTGACTTTTTAAAAGTTAAGCTGACCCCAACTGTTAAACCCGACCTAAAACTGTGTTTAAAATGACCTCTAGTTAGGGTGAAAAAGTAATTTGTCAAACCCTCTTCTGTGTTTAAACTAACTTGCACTTGAAAACTAACCACTTACTGGGGAAACAAACCCCTTTTCGGAAGCTTTACTTTTATCTGTGTAAGCTGACCCCCTACTGTGTAAAACCCACCCCATATGTGGGAAGGGTGACCCCCATACCCGGTAAAATACCCCAAAACCCGTTAAAACTTTAAATTGCACTTTTGTAAATAACCAATTACTTTTTAAGTAACCCCTTACTGTGAAACTACCCCTTTTTGTGTAAAACTGACCTCATACGTGTGCTGACCCCTTACTGTTAAAACTAACTTGCACTAGTTTAAACTAAACCCCTTACTGTGTAAGGGAAACCCCCTTACTTTTGTAAACTGACCCCCTTATGTTAACGAACCCATACTTGGGAACTAAACTTACTGTGTAAGGGTGACCAAACCCAAATTTTAAAGGTTAAAATTTGGGAGCTTTTTTAAGCTTGTAAACAGAGAGTCTCACACAAAAACCCAAAAATTTATTTTCCCTTTTTCCATGCCTCTTTGCCTGTTGCCACCCTAAACAAGCCATAGCTCCTTTTTTCATTAACAACCCAAACAGAGGTCAGGAACGGGTTTGGGGGAAAAACTCCTCTGCTTTTTTTGGTATTTGACTAAGTAGTATTTCCGAACCAACTGACCTAATTTGCTTGCAGATGTTCCCCCGTAAAATAAAGGACTTTTTTTAGAAATTTGGGTTTCCCTGATAAAAAACTGTTCACAGAGTTTTGAGGTTGAACACCCGCAATAACTGAAATTGAGTTTTGGACTTTATAGAATATGAATATGGCAACTAAATTTGTGCATATGTTGTTATACATAAAGGCTGTGTTCTTCCTCAACTCTTTTCCAATAGTCATACTTATATTCATAAGAAATTCCATTCAACTGTGCTAAGAATGACAACTCAAGATAATAAAATCAAGAAAAATCCATGATAACTCCCTTTAGTATAAACTTCAAACAAATTTGGGGAACTCTTTTTCCAAAAAAAAATTCACCCTATAGGGTTAAATCCCGTTTATTTTAAAAATGGGTATTTTTTTGAATCCTTTTCCCAAAACACAAAATTTAAAAAAGAACCAATCGATGTTGTTTCCCTTCCCCAAAATCAAAAAGAGAAAGCCCCTTTAATATAAAAATTTTGCCCTTTTTAGAACAGTCTTTTATCTTGCTTTGAGACTTCCTTTTAAAGGGAATTTTAAATTTTAAACCCATGGCATAAAAATTTTTTTATTTAAAATCCCCCCCTGACTGGGGGTAAATGAAAATCTGGGTTTTAAAGTGCAAAATTTATTTTTGAAATGACTTTGACAAAATCATTTTTTTTTCATGATAAAAAATACCAAATTATTTATTTATTTAAAAACATGAGTAAATGCATGACAATAAAACAAAAAACCAAAAATTTTGAAACAAAAAGACTTTTTCCCAAAATTTTGAAAATCTAAAAAATTTTTAAAATATGGGTTCCTTTTGCAAATCTTGATTTCTTTCGTTTCTACAGTGGTTTAATTTTGTATTTTTTGGACAATTTGACATCTATTTTTACCTTATTTCCACAACAGTAAGCAGTTAATTGACCTTCATGTAAGTTCTTACATTTAAATGCATTGGCTGGATATAAGTTATCAGTTTTAATGATATCACAAATTCTGCCGTTGATATGAGCATACTCTGTTATACTTACTGTACGTTTTAAAGCATTGTATTTTTGTCGGAATCTTTTCCTGCAGTATAAAGCTCGGAATGCACCGCCCATCACATGTTGTATAACTAGACCTATGTCTAACAATGTATACCGGTACCCACTTGGCAAGTGCTGGAATAAACACAACACAATCATTTAGTATCAAACAAAGATATCTATATCTTATAATATAAATAAAAAGATTAAAAATTGGTAAAAAATTAGATTGAATTTTTTTTTTATTTTTTATTTTTTTAAATTACAAAGTAATGAAGAGGAGGCTCTACCAAACCTAAAAGGGGACATATCCCAAAGAAATAAATGTACAAATAGTTTTTATTTTCTTTTTTCATTCAAAGTAAATTAATATACAAAGGGCAAAATCTAACTCAATGACATAGATACCCCACTGTTATATAAGCTGATTTGGTCCAGTATCAATTTCATAAATTGTTTAAATTAAAACAGCATTAAAGACATAATTACAAAAAGAAGTTTGTCTTATTAAGTTGTTCCGATTATATAGAGGATATTTGTTTAGTTCAGTGTAAGATCGGAATATATTTCACCGAGTGAGCACCAAAAGGTATATTTCACGAGTGGCGCAGCCACGACTGAAATATGAACTTTTGGTGTTCACAAGGTGAAATATATTTCGATCTTACACTAAACTAAACAAATTTTCTTTTTATTATATGCAAGGAAACGTTTTAAAAAGACATTACACCTAATACTGAATGAAAAGCGCGCCAAATAATAATACAACGTGACGTCATTTACGACGTCACGTTATAAAGTTGGTTCCCAGTACTGTGCACGCTGGTATTTCACTGAAACAACGTAAGGGGCTTAAATTCAAAACAGTGAAATTATCAAAGTGGTAATTTCACTGTTTCAAACAGTGAAATTACCAGTTTTATATCACTGATATATTTCTATAAAACACCGAAAAGCATGTAATAAATAATATTCATACAAAGTAAATCCAATACACAGCACTTTTATAATTATTATAGAATATGTATTAAAATTAATAAGACATTGCTAAATTTACCAAAGAATTCATATTATAGAATACAAAATGATTTGAAAAAAAATTAATTCTTTAAAAGCAGAGAAAAACAACTGTTACATGGTAAACTGTTAGTATCATTAGTTAAATAGAAGATATCTTAACACAGGTATTTTTGAGAGTGCTCATTCCAGGGATAAGATTGCAAATTATCTACATTTTAACTGGGACATAAGATAACGAGACGGGAAACACAGAGATTTTTAAAAGCATTAAAAAAAGAAACTAACAGTGTCAATAATATACACTCCCAAACACTCAAGTGAACTTGAATTTGGAATTGCTCTAAGAGACAATAACACACAAAAATGTCTTGCTATGACACCTTTTATACAATTTGTTTAGGACCCCCACCTGTGCTCAATAGTTCAGAAATAATACCTATTCTACAGACTCCATTGTGTGGAACATGAAAAATTAATATATAAATTTGGCTTTCTTTCTCACAAATAAATGTAATACCTAATTTTCATGTTTTGTTTTTTTTAAAATAATTCCAAATTGTGCAAACCTGGTGTTGTTCACGAAAAACAGTAAGAAAATAAATTAAGGAGTGCATAAAATGACTGCTGAAATTAGATATATGTTCTAATATTCTTTAGTCACAGCAAACATGGATTTACATACACTGTTTTACCATTAATATATGCTGCAAACAAAAGAAAACCAAGAAAATTTCCAACAAAAATCTTAACTGAATACATTTTTTCCAACTTTATTACTGTTTTAAATGCCCTACATGACTGTCCTTCAAAAATGACAAGAACCGAAGAGTGAGTTTAACTTGATTAAAACTTATTTCTATTTCAAGCTCTGTACTCTTAATTTGTTCTAAATATCATATCAACTAGTACAAGAAGTTAAGAACTATAAAGGTCTTCGTGAACTAAGGTGATTACATCAAAATCTACTAGTGAACTATTTGATCATTTTAACTGTTCATAATGATTAGTAACTTTTATGTCAAATATGTATAAAATTTATGACACAACACAATACCTTGATCAAAACAGCTTCAATTTATAATGCATCCTGTTCAGAAATCAAATATTCAAAAATTCAAACCTTAGAAACATGTTTTAAAAGTTTAAGAAATGTATAGATATCAATATGTATTCAATATCAAAATCGGTCAGAATTTTAAACCATATTGCTACCTTGTGTCTAAAGAGAGTTTTTTTTGTTGCTTATTTTGACAAAATTTCTCAATCTTAAGTGTCTTCATTTGGAGATATGCTAGTTTTAGTAATATTTAGATAAGATCAAAAGAAATATGTTATAATACCTTTCTGACATCTCTGACTAGATATCGTAGAGTATTTGAAGGTCCCTGTCTCTGTAAAATATAAAAATCTTGCATTATTCAGTAAGCCAGTATAAGTACAATTTCTGTATCACAGCTGTTGCATTAAAATTATCTAGTTTATCTTATAATACATTAAACTGATTTGTATTAACTGTAGATGCTCCAAAAGCAAATATGCAATCATGTAGCATAACATTCCATGTATCTCGTACTGATGTCAAGTTACAACAAGGCATCAATAATTGTAAGATTTTACAACAGTGGTTATTTGAGAGAAGGGCTTTTATTTACTGTTATAAATTAAAAAGTGATTTACAAACTAAACTTTAATATTCTTTTAAGACTACTTTGATTTAAGATTATATGAAATTTAGGATTCTTTTACATTGCATTTTGAAAGAAAGCTTAATCACCATTTCATGGTTATCACTAGCTGACTCATACATGGGTATGTGAATCTTTATTTTAGGGGAAACAAAGTTTAGCTTCTTTAAAATAGCAGTCAAAGCAACTTTTATATTTTACTTTCATAAAGACAATAAACATACAGTATTATAAAGTTCCTCTAGACGTGGTATAGTTAGGAAGCTCTGCATATGTACACCGTTTTCTAGCAGAAGTTTGACGAAATCCACACGATCATTTATTAATGCATCCATCATAGCCTGTTCTAATGATCCTTCCTGAAATGATACATAATATGAAAATACTGCAAATCTATGAGATATTTCTTATTTGAACCAATGAAAGAAATTGTGTTGTATTAAAATTTTGCTACAAGGACTTTTGACATATTTCATGGCTGTTTATTAATGAAAAATATAAAAAAAATGCCACAAAACAACAGTTTTTTTTTCAAAATTATATGTGAGGCCATGATTTTACTTGAAAAAAAAAACTCGATTTTGGTTAATTCCAATATTTTTCATCATTATCTGTTATCACTTTACTCATATCAATGCAATTCAACTTACTTTCACCCTTCTTGTTAAAAGAAGTGATTACTTTTTTTGGACTTGTGAGAGGCTAAAAGTGGTAAGGTGTTACAAACACTGAAAAGCCTTTGACCCATTCCACCGAGAAGTTGCTGCTCTTTGAGATCAGTTTTGATGGAAAAAATCTATGCAAAATAGTGATTTTTGACAATTTTGAGATGTCCCCTCATTGCCATGGTAATAAGAAATTTAAGACTGAGCATGCTGTTACAAAGGCTTTGGTCTAGTTAATATTTGTGCCAAAATTGATCAGTATTGAAGCATTTTTTTATAGTTTCATAGCAATTTGAACTTGTAACAGGAGGTTTTTCAATGAAAACAGCCATTTTTCACAAAATGGACATGGAGTAATGGGTTAATGTTTGTATTCTATACAACCTAAGCCTTATTGTTCAAATTATATTCTGCTTGCAACCATTCATACATGATAATATTACCTGTCAAAAAAATTTCTAACTTATAATGAATTCATTTTTTTCTGTTTCTTCTATATCTATTTTTTTAAAAATCTCAAGTCTTTATATCATGAATATTGAAAGTGCAATGAATATAGGGAAAAAAAAAACACCCTAAAAAAAACATGATGAATATTTAAAGCACCATGAATATTTGTTGTCTTACATGAAACAAAATTATTAACAGTATAAAATATATTTTTCACCAGATGAGATGAGATATAGACTGATAAGAAACCTTGTGAAACTGTAACCATAACAAACTTTCCTATAGTCATAACAAAAACACATCTTAGGGATGTCATTTTAAAATTCATATGCAATTTTCGTAATAAAATTATCACAAAGTTTCCCTTTATATCCTATAAAGATGCCATTAAATTATCAGGAAAAGTCCTAAAATACATTGTATCTTTTATTATTGACAACAGCAAAACAGCACTGTCATCGCACATCTGGTCACGTGTGATTCCTATAAAGTCAACAGTCTGGTTAGAATGTTAAAGGCTGATTAAAGCCCCCAATATTGATCATACAGTTGATCTATCTTTTGCCTTTTGCAATGAGTAAATTTATCATGACTTACATTGTAATATTCTCTAAAGAAGACAAATTACCATTACCAAATTATTACACATTTGATCCCACTTACTTCACATGAGAAAAATTATTGTCTGCCATGCTCTAAATATTCATGTATAATATTCAAGCATAATAAAACACAGGTTTGCATTAATTTTTCTTTGCAGGAAAAATGATTCATGTTTTGAGGCTTAAAAGGCCTCTAACTAACTTGATTTTAGCACTTCAGCAATATTCTTTGTTAAATCTCTTTGAGAAATTACCTAGGGAATATAAAAACAATTATGCCATACCATGGTTTTTGAAAATAAATAGAGGATATGTAATGAGTGTAGGTTCAATACTTAATTTATTGAACATATGGCGGGCATAATAATTTCTTTTTCATAGAGTTAATAAATATAATAATGATGCTACATGAATATAATATTTGTACCCAATATATGAACTGTTTTCTTTCATTGATGCACAGAAATGTCATGCTAACATTTTATACTATGTTTGTATAATGCATATAACATTAAAACAAAATACCTGCATGGCCAGGCATTATTGTTAATAAGGAGTCTCTACAGAAGTGATAACGCTGTATATTTCACTACTTGCAAAGTTATATCATATCATTTAAAATAACAAAAAATATTCAAAGAAAAACTGTAGCAGGTAAAGTTATTCTTGCATATCAGACTGGCGTTTCCGTGAGTTTTACCCATGCCGGAAATTTCATCTGGCATGGGGGGTTCCAGATGAGTGGCGTGCTGTACAATGGTACGATTAGGATGACGTCATTTTACAGTTATGAATGAAGTTGTAATTCATACGCTGTTGTAAGAAAGTAGTTACGGTTGTAATGATATAAATTTTCATTGAAAATAAAGATAAAGAATTTAAAGTATAACGGAATATGGTAGAATATGCAAGAAAAAATATCTGACATATGTTTGCGGCTCGGATCGGAATATCCGTCCCTCGGTCACCTGCCCATGGGAAGTAACTCGGCAAGCCTCGTTTCCGTCCAATGGGCGGGTCACCTCGGGACAGATATTCCAATCTGAACCGCAAAATATGACAGATATTATTAATCTCAAACACTCACAGGCCATTCTTGTCCATAAACAAAAATATGGCTTCTTGCAATGTCCACTCTGTCCCAGGTCAATGCTAAACTAAGTTGATCTGGGGCACTAGCATTTGTACCTGAAATATAGAGAAATATTCATTAGTTTTTCTTTGGAAATTACACAAAACACATTCGGAAATAAATAAATTTAAAGTCAATAGTGTGACTTTTCAAGCTTTACTGGCAATAATTGAATGGTAATAACCCTATGAAGTCTATGGATCTAATGGTTCTCTAGTTATGAGCAGAAACTGTTTTAACATTCAAGGTCACTGTGAATTTGACCTTTACGCACTGTGTCCCAAAACAACACGGAGCAGTATAAAAATCTGATATTTTTAGCCTCTTTTGACCTCACCCCATGACCTGAAAACTTTCCATAGGGTAAAGTTCACATTTTATTGTAGTGACCATGAGACTTTAAAACATTAACCCTAAACAATGGTTGAAAGTTCACAAAAGGTACCTAGTATATAAAATTTCCTACATATTGTCAATAGATGAAGGTAAGGAAAAGAAAAGTATAATACAAGGAAAGGTTTAAGGATGGATGAAGAAACTGGTATTTCATCTCCCATCATAATTCTTGTTACATTAAGATGTCCATTCTGTTCGTCAGGCGAAATATGCCACTTGATCTACAGCAAGGAATTTAGTGTCCCATTACATATTGCCATAACATCAAAATTAATTTTCTTAAACATTTACTACATCTACATATTTTATACATGTGTTTCTGCACTTTTATTTTAATGTTGTTGATGTTTTTTTATTAATTTCAAGGAGTTTTCAGTGAAAGTTTTATTGCTAATGTCAATAAATAAAGTAGTAAGTAGAAATTAATTTCCAAACAAGAGTTACAGTCTGAGCTTGATTTAATCCAAACAAGAGATGATTTCCCAATAAGATAATGCAATGTCAGTAAGACGTCTTAAATATTTCAATTTTATTAAGCTTGCCTGTCATCGGAAGTTTTTCCCCTGATGGCTGCTTATATTGTCTGCAATGTTATTGCTAAATCGATGGTATAAGTAACCTTTCTTGCCATAAGATGGCTGGCTGAAGGTTTCAAACTGTTAAATCGGTCTATGGACGACAATATTCTTTGATTACATTAACACAGCTTAGTGAAGTATGCTCAGCAGTTAAAGTGTCAACTGTCTCGGAAGATGTCTGATCTATATCTAGTACCTACAGACTCGGTTGTTTCGTGAAAAACAAGTTTCATTTAGGAGCTATGGAAATGTTTTATACAGAAGTACAGTTTCAGCAATACAGTCTAGGGAATAATGAGAACAATTTTTAACATGCTACAAACACAAGAATCATCTTATACAACTAATTTCATTTTTCTTTAACTATAAAATTTGACAAAACCATCAAAATCATGTTATTTAGAGTTTTGTTATGTTGTTTTTCTTTGTATATTATTGTTTTTCTTTTCATAATTGTTTTTTCTTTGTATAATTGTGCAACTACAACTTAAGGTGTTTCTTTAAGAAAAGCTAAGTATTGGTATCAAGTGTTTGCTTTTGCTTTTAAAGATTTAAGTATAACCATTAACATCATATGGCTACTCTGTCACGTTTGCAAAAAAAACCAACGACAATCCTAATGGTACCTCTCGGAGCATTTATTGCAGCTCAAGAACAACTACAGGTCTAAATGTTTACTCAAAACATAGAGAGCTAGCCCTAGAACTGAAATGTAAGTGATAATCATACACTACCTTTAAGTAATGCTGTAAGTATTGCTAAATCAATATCCTGAGCTCCTTCACCCATTCGGAACACTGTGATCTGAAATTACAATTAGCATACTGCCTTGAACTTTAACCACATAAACAATATGAGCCGCGTCATGACAAAACCAACATAGTGGGTTTGCGACCAGCATGGATCCAGACCAGCCTGCGCATCCGTTAAGAACTATTCAAGTTATCTCCCACATAATATAAAGGGCATTTAAAAAGAACTAGGAATGTGTCCAAAGGACATGGACGCCTCTATATTCCACTTTTTCTTCCAGTCTACATATGGACAGTATGAAGAACTAAGTCAGGCATAAGACAGTTTCATCTATTCTCAACCTAACTTGTACAGTCTAACTTGCCCATGCGACCACGTGTATTAAGCGACTTTTGTCTTAAACGACCACTTTAAATTCCCCCCGATCATTTTCTCTCTATATCTTTAATGTATTAAGCGACTTTTGCTCAACGCGACCAGCGACCGCTAATTAGTCACCTAATTGACATCAATCTTTTCATTAAACGACCACTTTTACCTGTCAAGTAATTGTGTTTTTAGAGAACGCCACCTCGTTTTGTCACAAGTGTCAGCAATCAAAACACAACAATAAACGTGTGAAAAACTCTATTTCCCATACCGTATTAGCGTTTGCAAATGAAGTAAAGTATACGCGTGACGTGTATTATCCAATAATATCGGATAAACAATGCAACGCTCCGCCCATACTGAGATGGTGTATACGCTTCGCTTGTTGACATTTACACTGCATTGAATTGACCTTGAACTTGATCAGCCATTAAATTAATCGTAACAAATAGATGTAGTTTGTTTATTTCAAATGAAAAAATGCACAACAGCAAACATCTTCACTAATAGGGTTTTCGTGTTGGAGACAATGAAAAACAACGGTGAAGTTAAAAAATTCTGGAAAAATGTCAAACATGTACGTAATGGATCAAAACTTATTTTGTCAATAAATATCAGAACGTTATTTTTACATTTGCATCCGTTTAGATTATCGGAGCGTACTTATTATAAAAATGAAGTTGAAAAACAATCCCATCGAATAAAAAAGATGTCATTTATAAATTTTGACTTTTACATCATGCTGGCTGTCTTAAGAGACCGTTTCATTAAGCGACCGTTTTTGGTGTTTCCCTTGCCCGGTCGCTTAATACACGTTTGACTGTATATTCTACCAAGGTATTCCATATCAACTTAGTACCTATTTCTGTAACAATAGCAAGTCATAGAAAGAAAATGAAAGTATATTTGCTGCATATTGCCCTCAATTCATATACAAAGGTTTATCATCATATCATATACAGAATCTGACTTTTATTTATCACAGTGTAATATGATAGGAGGAAAATTGCTTTTGATTTGAAATCAGTCAGAGATAATTGTAAAACATGTTTGGTGTTTGAATTACATAAATATCATATAATATCCTCATTCAAATGAAATACAATTACCAGTTCTCTTTTCTTCACACAAAGCATGAGTTCTATAAATAGTTTTTCTGCCTGCTCCTGGGTGTACTGGAATGTTTTCTGTATTGTTAATATCAGTTGGTCTCGTAAACTCTCTGGCATTGTTCTAAATTAAACAAGAGAAAAAAAATTCATATAAAAAATGAAATGTTTTTGCATGACCATTCTCAGTTGTTGATAATAAAACAACTGTTACACCAAAACTTTTGTGCAGAATTAAGATACAATTATCGGAACACATTTAGTTTAGCGAACCCTGGAAGATAAACCATGTAGGCACAGTTGCCACCCCTGCTTTATTACATGTTAATATTCAAAACTATGACCAAATTCAGAATAACACTTAGAAACAGAATAAAAAGCATAATTACACAGTAGCATGTACACTAATTTAGTTCTAGGGTCTACTAAACTAGATTTTAACTCAATTATCTACATTGAAAACTGAAAGACAAACATCTGAAACAATCAGAAGATCCAGTATATCATTCTATGTCAGACATATATTATGGCACATGTCAATTTAGTTTCTTCCTGGAGACAAGATATTAATGCAAGCATCTATAAACTATCATTTTCTACTTCTATTCTATAGCATATATATATATATTTATAGATCACATTACCAGACATATGCTTATACAACCATTTCATATATTCTGCTGACTCACCAAAAGAAAAAACACCCAAGGAAACTGATACAAATCATTGTTCACAACGGGACTCGACATTATGTGCAACGTTTTTAAAAAGAATAGGATTTTTTCATAAAACTTTCACCATGATGTTCTATCAAAGTGTGGTATACTGTACAAAAAATAACACACAGTACTTTGGTACTCACAGCTTTCAAGCTACCCCTATGTTAGCTCCAAATAGCTTTGTTTGTTAAATGTTTACTGGCTAACTATTCGGTCATTATAATGCTATGAAGACATCAAAACTGTTTACTACTTTTTAATTGTAGCTCTCTGTGGCTAACAAAGAAGGATTGAAATGTTCTAATCAAGACTGAGGTAACCGTTGTCCACTGACAGACAGATCTGACAATAGCTTGGAGAGCTAGTCACAAACAAATCAATCAATGCTTGAGAATAAAAAATCATGTCAATACAAAGCACATACAGTAGTCTAGTTAAAATAATACCACATTCAGCCTTTCTATTTGACAGACAAAAAATCTCAGTAAATATGAAAGGATAAATTTATAGCATGACGATGGCAAACATCTACCATGTTTGTCTTTCTCCGGCAACAAATCAATGAAAACAGCATGCCAACTTTATTTTATAATGACTATTCTTTCACAATGAATTATTTCCATGTCTATCAAAGGATGACAAAAATACACTTCAAATGCTTTTAAATGTCTACTGGTTTATTGATCTTAAAGAATATACGAGCCGTGTCACGACAAAACCAACATAATGGGTTTGCGACCAGCATGGATCCAGACCAGCCTGCGCATCCCCAGTCTGATCAGGATCCATGCTGTCCGCTTACAAACCCTATTACAAGTAGAGAAGCTGATAGCGAACAGCATGGATCCTGATCAGACTGCGCGGATGCACAGGCTGGTCTGGATCCATGCTGGTCGCAAACCCATTATGTTGGTTTTGTAATGGCGCGGCTCATACAGTTAAAACATTTCCTTCCACAAAACCTCTCCTGAAATAATCTAACTACAATTTGTTTAATATGACATACAAATAAATGCACAAGCTAAAATCATTATATTAAAATCAAATGAATGAAAAATATTTTCATAAACATAGTAAATGAATTAAATTTTAAACAGTGCATTTTCTCCAATGTTTGCTTGTGATAGAACTTTTCCATGTTTATTGGCAACCTTCCAGAATCTGACATGTTTTCCATTTACATGTATTAACCAAATTTTATCAACCTAGTTTGTATATTTCTTTTGTTACTTCCAAGATCAACCTTTCAAGACTAAAACATTTTGATTTCTTTTGTTACTATAGTAACCAAAACACATGACAATGCTGTTCACGTAATCTACATCTCGACACCTATTCACATGACCCATGTAAGTGACAGAAGGATAGAATGCTGTCAGACAGAGGCCAAACCTATAGTCATCTTTATAATAAACTAAAAGACTAATAAAGGACTTATAAAAACATAGAAATAGTTCTTAATTGTATAAAAACAGAATGAAAAGAGTTTTCAAATTCTTTTTGTTATAATTTTATGGTGTAAAATTTCTTGCTGAAGGAAACAAAGGCTTGTCTCTTTAGGTAACTAGTCTGACACATTAACCACTCGGCCACGCTGCCACACTTACAACAGAACTATTGACCTCTGTAAACTAGCACAATACTTCCACATATAAAAGAATCCAAAATCCCTGGCGGGATTCAAATCCATAGTGGTGACAAGCAAGTGGTTTGAAGATGGTGGTCTTAACCACTTGGCAACTGATGCCCCCTATTTAAGTCAAGGTACAGAAACCTGAGCAGACCTATAAAACTCCCATTTTCAAATAAAAAACATAACAACCAATAACAAACAAACCAAAAATACTCCAACCCTGATTTCAATTAATTGAGGAAATAAGATGTCTATTGATGTAAAAACTGTTTTATAATTGGCCTTTATGTTGGTGAAATATTAACAAGAAACATGGCAATGCCATGAAACCAGGTTTTCAATTATCACCATTGTAGATAAATATGTTGTATTTGAAATACAAATACAAGCAACAAACAATGTAACTATGTGCAATGTAAAACATGAATAATGTAGGAGGAATTGCCACTGAAGAAGTGTTCACTATAATATTATGTATAAGGAAAAAAACAAAGGGCCATAATTAGGTCAAAAACTATCCAATCACAAAACCCCGACAATATGTGCCAGGGTGCTTGATGACAAAGCTTCTGTGAAAGTTTGAACAAAATCCGTTGAGAAATGTAGGACGAGTTCAGCACAGAAGAATTTGTTCACTATAATTATATTGATAATTCTTTATAATGAAAAACAAGTTACAAAGTAGACATGAAATAATATATCATATCTTTTTTAAATTACCTCCAAAGATGATATGACCTTTGACTGCCAAATCAAGTTAAAATCATGTAAACAGGATTTTCAATGTTAATGTCACTGTGACCTTGACCTTGGAGCCAGCCATGCAGAACATGCGTTCTGCACGTCATCTTGATGTGGTAAACATTTGTCTGAAGGTTCATCAAAATTCTTCAAAGGGTTGAAGAGTTACAGAGCGGACAGGATTTTCAATGTTAATGTCACTGTGACCTTGACCTTGTAGCCAGCCATGCGGAACATGCGTTCTGCACGTCATCTTGTCGTGGTAAACATTTGTCTAAAGTTTCATCAAAATTCTTCAAAGGGTTGAAGAGTTACAGAGCGGACACAATTTCAAGTTAAAATCATGTAAACAGGATTTTCAATGTTAATGTCACTGTGACCTTGACCTTGGAGCCAGCCATGCGGAACATGCGTTCTGCACGTCATCTTGATGTGGTAAACATTTGTCTGAAGTTTCATCAAAATTCTTCAAAGGGTTGAAGAGTTACAGAGCGGACAGGATTTTCAATGTTAATGTCACTGTGACCTTGACCTTGGAGCCAGCCATGCGGAACATGCGTTCTGCACGTCATCTTGATGTGGTAAACATTTGTCTGAAGTTTCATCAAAATTCTTCAAAGGGTTGAAGAGTTACAGAGCGGACACAATTTCAAGTTAAAATCATGTAAACAGGATTTTCAATGTTAATGTCACTGTGACCTTGACCTTGGAGCCAGCCATGCGGAACATGCGTTCTGCACGTCATCTTGATGTGGTAAACATTTGTCTGAAGTTTCATCAAAATTCTTCAAAGGGTTGAAGAGTTACAGAGCGGACAGGATTTTCAATGTTAATGTCACTGTGACCTTGACCTTGGAGCCAGCCATGCGGAACATGCGTTCTGCACGTCATCTTGATGTGGTAAACATTTGTCTGAAGTTTCATCAAAATTCTTCAAAGGGTTGAAGAGTTACAGAGCGGACACAATTTCGTTTGACGCCCATCCGCCCATCCGCCCATCTGCCCATCCGCCCATCCGCCCATCCGCCCGCCATACCCCAATCTAATAACCAGGATTTTCAAAATTGAAAACCTGGTTAATAAATAGGAATGTCACTTTTCCTGAATTAGAGAGAAAATCAATTGATTAACATGCTAAGAAATTAGTTTTCAAGCTCCTTCAATCCGTTATGATAACACCATGATTGATCTCAATGTCTTAATTACATTGAGCGGATTAAAAACGTTAAAGTGATGAGAAACTTCATAGAGAAACATGGTTAATTATTCTAACAGTGCCATGCAAATATTTTTTTATCTGTCTGTAAGACCTAATGTTTATTCAAAAGTCAAAGATAATTGAAAAGTCAAAGATAAGTTATATTGTGTGCAATGTAATTGTTAACTAGACTGTATGTCAAGCCTTGTCTTGCCTTTTTTTAGATCAATAGAGTTAAGCATCATGTTTTAAACCTAACTTCTTTCAGACACCTCTCAAACATTAATCTTGTTATTCCAGTTGAAATAGTACCACATCAAACTCGCAATCTCTAAATTTGTAATACAATAGATACTGAAACAAAACAAAGATTAAATTACCCGTCTTCGAGACTATATTTATGTGTAAACGCCAGTAAATCTGCAGCTCTGCCACTCCCATCACACACCACAACTGGTACTGGGGGCGAGTCTGTCACGTATTCTAGCACTGATCGTATTGTGTTAGCTCCACCTTCTAATACTACACATATCACTGGTACACCACGCCCCTTTACTCCATTTGCTGAAATATATATACAGTTAAACAATTAAAAGGTAGCTAAAAATAAATTCTTGCTGAAATTAAAAAATATTTTTCAAGGCATGCCAGTTTTTCGAAACATAGTAATATTTAGCATAATGGTTCATTTGTGTGCAGTAAACCAAATTAAACATATTGATATCATGCTTAAATCTGGAAAAAGTTCTTGACACTTGTATTGGTCACACTTGAGCCCATTTCTTAAAACTAACCAGTACTAAAATGCTGTGTAAGGAATCAAGCTTGTGACCCAAGAAGAGCTTAAACCATGAAATGTCTAGTTTGTAAAAGACACAGAAATTAAATTCATCTTTATACTTCCCATACTAACCTTTTTGTACTTTCTTGTATTTGAACTTGTACAACTGTTTACATTATTTTATGTATACTATATGGCTATAATGTTGTTATAACAATTTTGCAAATAAAATGTTGCTGTTGTTGTATTGCATGTTCAATACATGCATGTATAAGCAACTGGCCACTGCTACATTTAGCCAAAGAAACAACTCTTATTATGTAGCTTCAATTATTCAATTATTATGCTTGAATGGAGAACTATAATGTATCATTATCAAATAGATTTTGCTCTATGCATAAAGCTACATGACTCCAGTAAAACAAAGTTTAGAAAAAGAAAACTGTCCAAAAGTTAAAGTGTTAAAAAACTGTAAATAATATTCACAATCCATGAAAACTTCACATGAAATATTCACAATGCAATACAGTTGACTCCTCAGAATTCCCAAACGACTCAAAATTACGTGTCCAAACATGTCAAATTTTGAAATACTGAGACTCCAGATATGTGGAAAGGAAATTTTTGTCTCATTAAATTTAAACAAATTTCCTTCTAAATTAAAGTTGAACTGTTAAAATCAGCAGACATGACGACATTGTGATATGACATCAAGGTGAGGTATCTTTGAGAGCAATGTTATGACTGTTTTTTGTTTTTTTTCTAACGGTGAAACTTGCAGACATTAATGCATACTTTCCATTCATGAAATTTGCAGTAATCAATGTGTACTTTTGGTTTAAGAGACTAAATGCTACTTTCATTTTTATCTGAAATTCACCTTCTTCCAGGTGTGTTGAATATTGTTTTTTCTATATATACCGGTATGTGATCGAGTATTTTTTAATTAATCTTTATGTATATCATTGAAAGTTTATTCAATTGATAATAATTGTGAGTGCTTGATATGAACATGTGCTAGATGTTTATCTGATCAAATTCTTATTAGTACATGTAGTAGTCACCCCCTTATCATTTATGAGTAGACTGACAACTTTGGACACTTAATCATTTATAAACATGAACAAAGGATGGCATCATTGAAGGACCACCTATTAACAAAAATTCTGTTTGTTTTCCAAATAAAATGCCCTGTTGCCAGGATTTTGTGACGCCAAGAGTCAATTGTGTATCAAATTCTTGTGAAATATTCATATAGTAAAATAAAATATTATTTTATGAAATATTCATACTGTTTTGCAACAGTTTTTTATGAGAATTTTTATGAGATATCCATATGGTAATATAGCAATTTCTTTATAAAATATTCATAAGATCATATAACAAGCATACCATTTTCATCTCAATATTTCCTACAGATATATAATGCAGTGATTTTTATCATATATATTTTTTTATATTCAAGGTTATTTGCGTTCAATGAAAGGCAGAGGCTTAAAATAATGCTAACTAAATTTACTTAATTTGTTCAAATGACAATATTTTTACTATCTTTCAACATTATCGAAAATTTGAATGTTCATGAATATAATAGAGACATCAACTATGTTTATATATATAAATATAGGATCTCAAATGAGTTGCCATATATAAAATTTTATTAAACAAGTTCAAGAAATTGTTCTAAAGCATTACAGGGGAAAATGATGCCATGACACTGCTGTATTAAACATATAAAGAAATATATAACACTTATTTTACATGGAAAACAAGCCACTTCATGTGATAAATACATATATCAAATAAAACAAAAGCTTCTGAAAATATGAATCAAATTGTTTTGTATATATGTAACTGTTTCAGATAATAAAACTGAAAGTCAGCAATGTGGTCGTGTTTCAGTGGGACTTTATACACAGTATGTTTAAGAAAGAGAAAATTATCAAACAATGGCAGTCTTGAAGTGTGTATCAGTACAGGAATTGTGAGTTATCACTGGTCCTAGCTGACCTTATATTATTTTTAAAAATGGACAGACATGTTTAAAAAGGTAGCTTTGTGTTAAAACACCAGACAAGTTCTAATCTCATCATAAGATAGAATGTCATGGCTAATTAATGAAACATGTATTTTATTATGAGGGACACATTGCTGACAACGGTACACTAAGACAGAAATTACTTATACAGATTTTTTGATGGGCGATGTATTTCTCCAATCGTTTCCGGAAGATAATTTCTCCGCCATATTTTCCCACAGTTCCATTATCAACCAGCAGGAAGTAGGAATGATTGTTGTTCAATACTGAATAGTTTGTCTTTGGCGAGGATACACAATGATATGGTACTATAACCTGAAATACAAAAACAACAAAATTTAATGGTACTTTAACCTGAAATACAAAAACAACAACATTCTATGGTACTTTAACCTGAAATACAAAAACAACAACATTCTATGGTACTTTAACCTGTAATACAAAAACAACAATATTCTATGGTACTATAACCTGTAATACAAAAACAACAATATTCTATGGTACTATAACCTGTAATACAAAAACAACAATATTCTATGGTACTATAATCTGTAATACAAAAACAACAATACTTTAAGGTACTATAACCTGTAATACAAAAACAACAACATTCTATGGTACTATAACCTGAAATACAAAAACAACAAAATTTAATGGTACTTTAACCTGAAATACAAAAACAACAACATTCTATGGTACTTTAACCTGAAATACAAAAACAACAACATTCTATGGTACTTTAACCTGAAATATGAAAACATCAACATTCTAATGCTATAGAAAAGGATTGCCCGTCTTGACAATAAGTTGCAGCAATAATGCAAGAAGTTCAAAAAGATGATATAATCCAGGAAAAAACACAATGCTACAGTTATGTGTCTTGGACATAAACTTACAATGTTCCCATATTTAAAGGGACTCCACTGAGGTTTTTTGACATGACGGGACTGGAAATAATTTTTTGAGATTATTACTCCATTTGATGTAGATCTATACTAATAAGGTATGTGCAAAATTTCAGATCATTAGCTCCCTTCGTTTTTCCAGAATAATTATTATAATAGTGAAAAATGACCCAAAATTGAAAAGCGTTTAAACGCTTTTCACTCAAATCGGACTGAGAATAGCACAAACATATGATTTTCAATGTATTTCTTGTATATTTCTTGGTTATATTTTATTTATATTTCTATTTTAAGTGCTCATGTCTATGTGAAAAATTAAAATTTTATGTTTGTAGGCTTATAAACCTCAGTGGAGTTCCTTTAAAGTTGTATTACCTAAAAACCTACTGTACGTAAAAATCAAAACGATCTTTTGAAGGGCATAAAAAATTTTATCTTACAAAGTTCCCATCAGTAAAGTTATACATGTATTCTGAAAATCTATTGTACGTAAAAATCAAAATGAACCTATGAAGGGCATTAAAATTTTAATCTCTCAAAGTTCCCATATTTAAAGTTGTATAACCTAAAAGCCTACTGTACGTAAAAATCAAAACGATCTTTTGAAGGGCATAAAAAATTTTATCTTACAAAGTTCCCATCAGTAAAGTTATACATGTATTCTGAAAATCTATTGTAAGTAAAAATCAAAATGAACCTATGAAGGGCATTAAAATTTTAATCTCTCAAAGTTCCCATATTTAAAGTTGTATTACCTAAAAGCCTACTGTACGTAAAAATCAAAACGATCTTTTGAAGGGCATAAAATATTTTATCTTACAAAGTTCCCATCAGTAAAGTTATACATGTATTCTGAAAATCTATTGTACGTAAAAATCAAAATGAACCTATGAAGGGCATTAAAATTTTAATCTCTCAAAGTTCCCATATTTAAAGTTGTATTACCTAAAAGCCTACTGTACGTAAAAATCAAAATGATCTTTTGAAGGGATTTAAAATTTTATCTCTCAAAGTTAAAGCAGTAATTATGACAGATCTCCGTTACCAGGAAAGCCAGGCCTGATACTCAAAGTTAATGAGATTCTTTACAGAAACACTATCAAAAATATTACATCATACTACAATGTAAAACAGAAAGCACATAAACTGGCATTGGTTAAATTAAGTAAGGGATGAAATATGACAGGGTAGAATTATTTATACTTTTTGGTATTCAGATTCTGTCTTCTCTGTTTTCAACTGAATTATATATTGGAAATTTTCATGCTTTATAGGAATATGAAATAAAGAGATTCTGTATATGCCTATTAAAACCCTCCTGCCAAATTTTCATAAATAAAAATAGAACAAAAGCCACTGCCTAGTGGGGGCCATGCTTGACTTTTTCTTATTTCTTTAACAGTTAAAAAAACTGTGAAATTACGATAATTTGACATTCAAGGTCAAGGTCATTGATGAGTGAAGGTCATAATCAATTTGGAAGGTCTTGTCCAAAAATTGTTGTGTCTAAGTATGAAAACAATCCATTAAGAAATAATAGATATCGACCAATTTTAAAGTTTCTAGACAGCAATGGCAACTATAACCTGACTGTAGCACAGCTCGAAATTTTTCTTTGAAAAAGTCGAGCTAATAAAGATGTTCCATAACAAAATATTTTACTACTAATTAGTAGAATCAGCAAAGATTATGAGAATGTGCCACCCACTTTGCTTGCAATAAGACATATTATTTTACCAATTATGGACAGACAAATGAAACCTGAATACACATTAATGCTCTGCTATTTTACAGTCTAGAAACTTACATCTTTTCCTACAAGGTCATCTTTGTTTTCCACAACTCCCCATGGAGCAATACCAATAGCAATGATTTTATTCTTTGCCTTGAGAGATCTATCACTTATAGCATCTCCTACATGTCTTGTCACACCTGAAAATAAAGTAACTTTCATTTTAATACACTGCTTGATGATATATACTTTTCAGATGCAATATATATAATGTAATGAATATACCACATATATTTAAGTAGTAGAAATAACCTGCACACAATTATAAGGTATGAACAATCACATAATTATGTTGATTTGGTAAAAATAACTGCACGTATTTATAAGGTATGAATAATCATACATATTTAAATGGTATAAATATTGCACATGCTTATATTGATATGAATAACATCAGGTACTTATATGGTATAAATAACTGAGACTATGATATAACAGTCCCCATAGCTCAATAGGTAGAGTTCTGCACTGTGAATTGGGCAACTTAGGTTTGATTCCCAGTTGGTATAGGGCACTTTTATTGTGATTGATCATGAAATCCTTATTTGGTCAATTACACTGTACATCTGCTCTGGTATGTACAGAAGTTATTTAAAGTTCCTAGCAAAAGTTATGATAACCAGTACTGGTAAACTGTTTAACAGCCTGCCCAGGGACGAAGTGGTGGCTGAATTGTGCTCTATTAAATTCAAAGTGGCTTAGTGCCATGATCAAGAGGGTAAACTTCCAACACCACCATAAAGACTATGACATTAGGTTCCAATAGCACATAAAATACCACCAATAAAATCAGAATTTCAATCAAAATATAAATAACATTTTTATTTTTTTCATAAAGTTGTCAGTATGGTATTAAAGGTGATATATAGGATGGAGATTAAAAGAATCAGGATATACCCATTCATAACATGATACAGGTAACAAAAGCTGACTATGAGAGTGAAGATCATCAAAGGGGAACAACTTTCACAGAAATGTAACTGAAACCAATAGGTACCTATAGGTGCATCCATCAGGAATTGGTTAAGGGGATGGAGAGGGTACAAAAGGTAATGCATGAAAAGATTGGGACTATAAAAGAAAGACAACCAGATCCCCTTAACAAAACTGGTAAGAAACAGAACAAAATGAGGGGGTGAAAGAATGGGGTGGTAGGAAAGCAATCAAAACTTAGAACTTATAACCACTTATTCAACCTTTCATTATTTGCAGATAATCGTTATCGTGCAAGCAATGATGATGACCAATGCCTACAAAAACACATTAGTACAGTCTGACCATACTCTCTACTGTTGGCCCCTCAATTTTACTATTCTGGCACTGAAATCACTTTAAATTATTACAGACACTTCCTTTTTTTAAAGCACAATAATTCTATAGCACAAACTCAGCATGTTAAGGATTGCATACAATATATATACGTATATATACGTACTTGATCTATAGCAGAACGAAAATTTCCAAAATATAATTCTAGTTTCGGGAATGTGTATATGATACAAAAGTTTGAATGATTTGAAACACTCTGGCTATTCCTTTTAAAAAGCTAATTTTAAGATTTCTTAAATTGATTGCATGATTATTTTCATTTTTAGCAAGTCTGTTTCGGAAAAAAAAGTTGAGCTACTGTGGGTATTTGTTGTTGTTGTGCAAAACTTTCATGTAGGCCAAATTTCAAACAATAGCATGAAAACTAGTATTTCAAAGTTCCCTGTCAATGTTTAAGGGTAACTTTCTTACATATCTGATCTACAAGGGATCACTGGTTATAATAGACCATAAATAGTGTCAGCCAACACTCAACTCACAAGAGCTGTCCAAGGAGTAGCATACTCAACACTTGATAGTATGATGAAAGCAGAAATCTTAATTGCCTTTATATTTTACAGGTAGACATATTTAACGTTAGAATGTAATATACTAGATGGTTTTTGAGAAAATTATGCATTATTCTGTTTATCTGTTATACAGAAATGCATTCCAATTTTTATAGTGTACAAGTATTCCACAAGGTTAACAAAAAGGTTAATCTGGGCAAATAAAGAAACATCTTAGTTAAAACGGAGCATAACTTTGCAAATTATATCTTTAGGATTATCTGCCCTTAAGATATTGCAGCAACGAGCAAATTAAGTGTAATGTGGATAGTTTTAATAGTCCTTGAGAAAATTGACCTTAACCTATTATATATTTAAAGTCACAGTGACCTTGACCTTTTGACCTTAAAATCAGTATGACAACTGGAACTCATCAAGGAGTATCCACGTTTGTTTCAATGTTATTAGCTATCTTAGTATTGAAGTAGATGGCCATCAACAAAAACCTAACCAAAAAGGTTTAAGCCGACACTGACCCAGACGTGTGGGTCGTGATAATACTTTAACTACTTTTCTTTGAAAAAGTGAAGCTAAAAATAGAAGATAAAACTGCATCGTTAAATGTAACCTTTCTATTTTGTCTTCACAATAGCAACTTTCCTGACCTGAACATAAAATGTTTACAACTATCTTACAGACAGTTTAGTGACATTGTCATATAAGTAATATAACTGTCCTGTATGTCACACAATTACTCAACCATTTTCTGCCAGCTTGCATTATTTCATTTAAGGCCAAACAAACTATTATATATGTTACAATATCAGGCTGTCCGATCCATGAAAATATTTCAATAAAAATAGTGATAGTGTACAAAATACTAATATAATAAAGAGTGTAAGAAATTCGGATTTGAATCCACTAGACTGGCCGGACTACCAGATTGGAATATTCACTAGCCCAAAAGACATTTCACTAGCACGATTCATTAGTTCAAAACAGTTGTTTATATTGCCTCTGAAAATACAGTAGCCTGGCCGGGCTTGTTACTAGCCTGAGGAGAAATTTAGTAGTCAAGGGATATCGGACTACTGCTGATTTCGAACACTGAATAAATCTGGTCAAGTGAACATGTAAAGAGGTCTGAGCTGGTCTAAGGCATTTAATTACAATCAAATTATTAAATATGCAAATAAAGCTCTTACTTTGCTAGTAAGAGAATAGAAAGTTGTAATAAGTGAAGTTTTATTTTCCAATTACCAAGCTCAATATCTTATCAAAACCAATCACCGGTTTTAGTGAAGTTTCTGAAAAAGCCATTTACTAAATAGCAAATAGTGTAGACAGATGGCGCCAATATGTCAGCTGATCTTGGCCTCGGGTCACAAGGGATGATTCTTTAGATGCTTAGTAAGGCTAAGGGTTAGAAAAAGAAACATGTGCCTTGATCAGGAATATAAGTCTTCATATACAAGCTGATTTTAGAAAACACATGCTGGCCAAAATCTAGGAGCAGAGATTTTCCAATCATGACCCACAATTCCTAACACACGATTCATTGGCCCTTAAAGTTGATCATAATTTCCACCATTTTGTTTTATGTAACCATATTATATTTCATTAATTGAACATAAATTTATAAATAATACGACCATGTATAGTGAAAAAGTAATGTATACACCAAGAAGAAAATAGCATCAGCCTTACGACATCTCTAATTAGAACCGCATGTCATAAAAGCTGTTATAAAAGGAATCATTACTAAAAAGATTCGCGGACAAGTTCATGACAGAGCACTGGGGCACTTAGTATGACTGCTTTACTTTTCTATTTTACACAAGCTTTGCTTTGTGACATAGGCTTAAATTAAGTCGTCTGCTAATTTATTATCATCCTCATTTTTTTGTTGTTGATTAGCATCATAAATCACGTACCCACACAGATAGAAACTGTGAAATGTGTCATTAAACGTCATAACAAAACAACACTTCATTATATCACTTTTATAAGGATCCAATTGATAATGTATAACCGTATATCAAATTAGGCTTTACTTTATACAAGGTAATTATTCTCTTATGTCTGCTAAAAATAAGTTAGCACCAAAGTAACTACAGCATTAAAGCAAAATACTGTTCTGTAACCTAGGAGATCCTGTATTTATACTCATGTACATCAAATTTTAGTTAGCTCGTAAACATCCTAAAATACAGACTGGTCTTAAAACAATAATTTCGTAAAATTAATGAAGATACTGCTGAATTATAATAAAACTGACTTGGTTGGATTCTATTTTTGGATATGTATCATTTGGATAGCATACAATTAGAGATGATTATGACATGTACAGGCCAGCTTGGACTCGAGTTGCTTTATATACTCGTAGTTCTGCTAGGTTCCACTTTAATTATAAATAATTTATTCTTGTTTTCCCTACAAGCAGTGTACAGAAACATTAAACATGAAATTTGGATTTCAAAAATTGACCATTGACATCTTGTGACATTTCTGCACTTCAGAACTGCCTCAATCATATTTCACATCAAAAACAAAACAGCAATCTATCAAAACTAAACATATAGAAACCCTATGGAATATCATACCAATCATTCAATTGTGTTTATTTCAATATCAAGGTTCATTCAATCAATCAATCAATCTTGAGGTGTATTGATTAACATCAAGTAACCATGTTTATAAAAAAAAGGTTTAAATGATATTGTATAAAGCATGCAATGTGATGAAAGCTGTATGAGATTGTGACAAAATTCATTTCATTTTACAATAAATCATTTGACTGCAGCGAATATTACAACTTGTCATGCAAGATTTCCTGTTTGTGGTTTTTGTCTTAACCAACAAGGTTATAAGGTAAAACCAAATGGTAATTCCCTTTGACAAAGCAAATAACAATGCATTATTTTAGGGACAAGTTGAAACAAGAACCGGTTGAACCGGGTGATGCTCCCCGAGAAGGTTCTGGACACAGGAAAGTATAAAAAAAATGAACAAAGGGCAAAAACTCCAAAATAAGGCAAAGCGGAGTTATGTTTTTTGCACTGCACTTCTATTCAATGAGATCTATCTATCTATAAAGTTTCCTGATGATATCAGAGTTATGTCCCGGGTAAAAGTCAAAGTGTAAAAATGAACAAAGGGCAATAACTCCAAAATTAGACCAGGCTTTGTTTAGGTTCTTTAAGCATTGCCGTTCTATCCAATTATATCTAGCTACCTACAAAGTTTCATGTTGATATCTCTAATAGTTTTAAAGTAATGTCCAGGACAAAAGTCAAAAAGTAAAAATAAACAAAGGGAAATTT